TCTGCAATACACTCTACAATTCAGCACCGTGTAACACTACCCCTTGTATATTGACACTTAAGCTGCTTTCATTGGATATTTTTTTATTATTTTCTCTCATTGGGAAGTCGCTCTTTATTTAATGTGATAGTACATAATTAGTTGATGGCACAAATCAAGTAGTGTAATTGCAGGAAAGTCTTACTGGTGAATGTGGAGCAAGCCAGGTCTGTCTTTTTCATGATAAACACGCGCATAAATGTAAATAAAACACACACAAAAACATGAAATGATATATATATACACGCGCGTGCGCGCGCGCACTTGATTTTGAACCCTTAACAAAACTATTACATTTCTTTTCCTCTGTATCCACCTCATCTGGAACAAAAATAGATAAATGCGTGAACTGCTACTCATACTCTGCCACTGTCATGTTCCCCTACTGCAGATTAAGGAACTCAGTCTTCATAACTGTCCTAACTGCATAAAGAAAGTACTACTCATTGAAGTGAGCACTGAACTGACCATAAGTCAATGAAGTCCTCTCCTCTGTGGTGGTAACTGACTCCTACCACTGTAGTGCATCTCCGACCAGTTTAAATGTAGCAAGCATCTGTTTCTAAACCTCCATGTATTGAACTATTCAAAGATGTCGCTCAATATCCTTCTCCACTGATGAGCTGCTTTCGCATCGGTGGAGCTTGTGAACTCAGGTGGGCTCCCCTCTGTGAAAGAACTCCTGACCTTTTCCCAAGGATTTGTCTGAACAACCGATGCTGGTATCGGTGCCTGCTGAACTTGTGATTGATTCCGAAGTACAGCTATTACCCCAACTTCTATAGCCTGAGCAATGAGGTCATTGATATGAGCAGGATACACTAGATCTCCTTGATCCGAAACCTGCTAAACTTCCTCTTGCTCTTCCTGAAACTGACCATCATCATCCTGAAACCCAGGCATTTGCTGCTCTTCCTCCATTTGCTAACGCCGCAGGCGTTCTTACTGCCTACGTGCCGCTCTCTTTTGTCGACTATTTCCTTGCATGTTCTATCCTTTTCTAGTGTTAACCATGCTGTTAACACAGAAAGACAGACATCAGTACGATATAAATAGATCGTAAAGGAATACAATGAATCCTAAACTTAAGCTCTAAACAAGATAAAACGCTACGAGGAAGTCTTAATACGAAATACCCTAAAGACACTTGAACCTAGAGTGCTCTGACACCAACTGTGATACCCCTCGACTTTGAAACATGGGTTGATTAGGCCCAAACCTAAATTAATATATAAACAAGCAGGAATACGAAAAGACTTAAGAAATAAATAATAAAGCTGAAAGAATTCTAAATATAAAATCCTCAAACGTTAAAGATTAATATAACCAAGCTTTCCAAAACTTCCAAGAGTACAACTCGAGAATCCATCTAGTGGACCCCTAAATAAAATCCCAACTAAAAATAAACAACTGAAGATAAAAATCCAAATCTAAAACATGGAATGAAATACTACGTCGTTGGTAGAGTGAATGACCGTCTCTGCTAAGCCCAAACAAGCCCTAAGACTGGAACCGTCCGATACCTGAAAAATTATAGTGGGTCAGGCCCACGAACAAGTTCTTAACTATCTAGTCCATATATATATATATATATATATAAATCCACACTACGGGACTCACGCTGGACTACAAAGGGGTCTCAACCTGAATAGAATGCAACATGCAGAACGCACCAGAGGTGGGCATGAATACCTAGACCTAATAGGATACACCTCAACCGTCATTGCCAGTTATGCATCCCAATGCATATACGCTCCCTAACCAATGATCTTGAGATTCAAGCTCATATCGTGGTACCATAAATTTATATATATAATCCATCCAAAACCAGAGTATGTCATTCAATTGTTCATTGATTTGACATAAGATTTCTAATCCAGTTAGTCACTCAACTTATTCAATTGATCTGACTTAACCACAAATAACAATTAATCCAGGTAGTCACTCAACTTACTCAGTTGATCTGACTTAAATATAAGTAGGATTCAATTTTTAAAATCCATTCCCTTATTACAGTAAGGTAGGCCTTAGCGTTTTGAGCTAAACCATCCCTAGTATGCCATCGTCCCATACCGGTGCATACAATCTATAATATCCATGTAATTGACAGAATTTAATATAATAATTTTGAAGTTAAACATGTCATTTAGGTTTCGTTTGGATACGGAGGAGAGAAAAGAAAAGAAATGATTAGAAGAGAAAAGAAAAGAAAGGAAATAATAGCTATAATGTTTGGATAGATAGGAGAGAAAAGAAAGGAAAACATAATATTCTTGTTTGGATAAAACGGAAGACAGAAAAGAAAGGAAAGAATAACAATGAAATTACTGTATTACCCTTTTATATATTTTGATAAATAATCATTCATAACTTGATAGCATACTGGTTTTTTTTTTTTTCTCTCCCTCAGTTTTATTGGAAACTAAAATTCATAATAACTAGAAAAACAAGATAACTTGATAGCATACTGTTGTGTGTGTGTGTGTGTTTTTTTTTTTTTATTATTTTTTTTTATTAAGTAACTTGATAATATACATATAACTTGATAGCATACTTCGAAGATAGATAAATAAATATGTATATAAGATTTTTATACCACATTTTCTCATCTCTTCGTAAACTTTAGGGGGTTTTTTTATTTTTATTTTTATTTTTTGGATAATTAAAATAATACTAAATAATTAATACCAACTAAAAGTTAGTACATTCTTTATTAATAGACAATTTTACTATAAATCAATGTCTACACGTAAGATATGCAATACATTGATGTACCTTATTATCCCCTAAGTGCTATAGTCAGATTTTTTTGATGCTATAACATGATCTTTATCTAGCAACGTCATCAACAAAACTATTACTTAGTCTTGTTAGAGCACTCACGATTTTAGATACTGAACAAAAAAGGATTTGATCTTAGATGCATAGATAGATATGAAAGATTGGGTTTTATTTTTCTATCCAATTCTATAATTTTCTGGCAACAAGATGAAGCATAAGAAAAATCACCAGACACCAATTCTATGAAATTCACTGGTTGAATAAAAAAGCAGAGCAAATACACTGAATTGAAAGCATCGAAATCATTGATATGTTTGCATAGCATACATATATATATATATATATATATATATGGAGAGAGAGAGAGAGAGAGAGAGAGAGGGAGGTAGTACAGAGATTGGAGAGTGGATAGGAGCGTGAAGAGGAGAGAGAAAATTGGAATTTCTTCTTGACTTGAGCAAAGTGCAGTGAACGAAATAGGGCAGCTGAAGGGATTTGGAGGGTGAACTCTGTCTTTGTCATCCTTTCCCCTCAAATCCTCTCAAATCTTCTCAACTTTGAGAGGATTTGTTTTTACTGTGCTAAAGGGATTTGGAGGGATAGCCTATCCCTCCAAATCCTTCCCAATCATTTCTTTTCTTCTCAATTCCCTCCACCCAAACACACTAAACTCTATTCTTCCCTTTCTTTTCTCTCCAAATCTCTCCAATTCCCTCAATCCAAACGAGGCCTTATAGTTTTGAGAAATAACTATATAAGGTCACTTGCATTCACATACATCGTTACTTCCTCTCTCAAAAGTTTTGTGGTTTGTTTCTTTGGACAATCCTGTATGTACCCGTCAGATTATTGGATGATTTTCAGGTATGTTGGAGCTGTCTCTTCAACACTCCAAGCAACAAAACGAAAATCCAGTAGAACATGACTACCTGACCGACTTCTTCTTCTACTTCTTCCTCCGACGACACCAATTCATGGGCCGTTCATGGCCTAGTCGCCGCCGGACTGCACTAGTGGCGGTGGCCGGGGCATAGGCTTCTTTGTCTCTCCAAGGATTCGTGAGATTTCAAAGGCAGGTGATCGGAATTATACCAGCTCGGTACCTCCTCTTGATTCCAAGGCAAACCCCTCGTTTCCATCCTCGGCAAAGCCCACGATTCAGGTACTACTCTCTCTCTCTATTTGTATATGCCATATATATTTATATATGTTTGGTAGAATTTAAATCTTGTCCCGAACTCTGTAATTGTTCTAAGTAGACTTCTCATATATGAATTATGGAAATTAAAAATTGGTCCCCAATCCATTGGTTTCAGTGTAACCAATTTGTCTAATAAAAAAGATAGAATTTTGGTCAAATTGTGTCGAGTAAGAGTTGCTAATAGATATACATTGTAGTCCTATGTTGATCTTTATAAGATACGAACATTCGAAAATGTGACTCACTTGCATAATTTGTTGTGCATTTCCAGAGAACTTGAGAAAGGGCAAAACTTGCCAGCACATTGAACCTACCTACTTGGTATGTACTGCTGCAGAGAACGTCATTCACTTCAATTTTGATAGAGAGTACATATACATGTACACATGCCTATCTGTCTCTTAGTCGCACACAGAGAGATGATGATGATGCTCAGTGCTATATTTTTTTAGATTGCACATTGAACCTACTCAGACATTAATGTTTATTTGACAAATATTGCATTATTGGTTGCAATGCAAAGACATTGTGAGAAACATGGGGTGAGAAACATTGGGTGAATATGTTTATTGTCACACATGAATGGCCATAATTTGTTTGTATCTAATCATATAAAAGCTTCAGGTTCAGTATGTCTTATCAATTGTCATTGACATGTGTTTCTTACATGGGTTTAGTACTTAAGTAGATGCATGCTTTTGACTTTGGTTTAGTTTTCATGTACTCCCTCTTTCGGTGGCTCACCTGTTAAACGTGCATTTTTCTCTAGTATCGATGTGTTAATAAATAGAAAATGTTTTCTTTCCACCTAACTAAGCCTTCATATGATTGCAATGCAAATTTATGGACATAAAACATAATACAGGAGAAACAAGGTTGATTCGTGCGTGTCTCATTCGGAACTCGATCCAATGCAACTTGACGATGTCTTAATTCTGACTACAACTTTAAAAAGAAGGGGAACCGAAACCCAGCAATATAGAGAAGAACGCAGTTAATGACGTATAAACTGTCTAAAATAATTTAAGCACAACAATAAGCATCAAAAATGGCAAATCATGTTTTGATAGAAATGTTCAACTAACATGATTAATTTTCCAATTTGCACCTATTTTTTCTGTGTAATGTTGTCTCTATATAAGGTTTACATTGTGTATTGGGAAACAAGATAAGATTCTTTCTCACCATCCAGTGCACTGTGTCGATAACTTTCAATAAAGATAAATATGATCAGCGTACATGTGAGCTGTCATGTTCAAGGATTGGAGCATTGCTTCTCCTCTCTCGTTGAAGTTAAACACAGATATTCCACCATTGTTCACATCAATTGCGCGGAACCTGAACCAGTAAACACATTGTCAGGTCCAACTGCTAAAAGAACTCGAAATAAATGTGTTAAAATGATAATACAGAGGTAAAGCTTTAGCAAGCAAATAATATTCATACGACCTTTAGTATTCCATTATCGTCACGACTAGGAATTGGAAGGTAAAGACTCTCTTTTGATAAGATTTGACTACATTATGTGAGAGACTGACTGTACATGTGGTTCTCAGGTTATCAACAAAACCTTAAGACTTCATACAAATATCAGAATTTAGTATTCAACCAGAAACATGATCAAGTGATGCTAATTATATTGTTTACAAGAACCCAAGGTTAAACTATTGCCTGCCAATACTTACCTCTCTGGGCCTAATCCAAGAGCCGTGCAGATCAGTGCCCTCAACATAGACTTGTGAGTCACAACCAAAAAATTCTCTCCCTGATGAAATAATATAAATTGTTGGTGAATCAATAAAGATCCTAACATCATCACATAATGACTACAATATTATCAACCAAAATACGTATAGCAGCAGAAAGGGCTTACAGGTGTAAACAAAATTTCCTTCCAAGCCTCACTTGCCGCTTTCCATAGTTCTCGAACGGGGTAAACACCATTCACACTAAAATTTGATGGATCTTCTCTCCACATTTTGTACTCTTTCGGATATCTCTGCCTAGCATCCACTGCCTCCAAATACTAAATGTAAATCTTTTTAAGGATGTGAATTAAGCAAATCTTTTTATTTCCCGTTTCATTTTTTTAAGTGAAAACAGCTACCTGGCAGCTTGAAATTGAAACTTGAATAAAAATGACTATTAATTTGTTAAAGATACACTATATATCAAGCCAAATTGTTATCAACTAGGACAATTTTGTGGTTTGGAAATATCTAAACATTTATAACACAAGAACACACCATTTTTCATGCCTTGAAGAAAAAGCAGATTGGCCTCCTTCAGTGAATCAAGAAATACAATAGGTGTTTCCCTGCCTTGCCACATAACTTCAGCGGTGGACTGCAGTAAATTCACACAATTGAGAAATTGATGGAACAGTTAGCGTACCTAGAATATCAACTTAACTGTGTTGTTCAGACCTTGGCACGAGATATTGGACTCGAGAAACATTGATCAAAGTTTATATCTGCTAAGGCATCTCTGCACCTTTCTGCTTGCCGCACTCCAATGTCTGTCAAGATGGACAGATTTGAGCTTCCCTAAATATAAAACACTGTGATTAGCAGCTATAGAAGTTATGAAATGTCAAAATATAAAGAAAATATCCAAGGTGGAATTTCAGTTTTAAAATAAGCTTTCAATCCCAAATATAAAAAAAAGGGGGGGTTCACAAGAAGCTTTCAGTTATCAAAAACCATAGAAAGAAAAAGAAAGATTAGGTTGAAAGCAGAGAACAACAGCAGAATTTGTGAAGAATTTCACTCGATGTGGGGTGATTTGGAAACCAGCTAAATCCAATTATAATCTCAGCATTGACTCTACGCACTTCTATTTCTTGTTCAACATTATTATCTCCTCAGGCTATTCTCATCGAATCCAAAAAAAACATAGACTTTCTCTCAACAGAACTTTATTCTCACCAGTTCAGCAAATTCCACCCGTCATACATCATATCATTTTGCATTTTTTGCATGAATTGTCCTTTCAAACCTTGAACCACATAATTCAACTCTTCAACATTTGGATGCTAATTTGCTTGATACTATAATACATACTATACTTAATATAAATTTTGTATAATTATGATCTCTCTTTTCAACTTTAAAGGCAAAAGATAATGCATTTCAATGAATGATAGGAATTTTTTCTCTCATTGGATTAGAAAATGAGATTTTTTTACTGCTCAGTAAAGACCCTTCATAAAACCTATAATGTATTACAAAGTAGAGAAGCTGAAATAAAATTAGCAATTCACGGCAAAGTATACAATTACAATATAGATACAAAACTTATTTAGATCCAGAATTTTCAATATGAGGACCATATCAACTCATAATTGGGAGAGCATGGATAAATACATGGTTCATTTGGTGAAAGAGAAGGGTGGGTGGAGGGGGCAGTGGTGGATAGAATAGTTTATATACTTTGGTAGGAAGGAAAAGAGAAAAGAAAGGAAAATAGGAGGACAGCCTCTTCCTTTAGGCCCACCAATCCTCCTTCCCCCCGAAAGTGAGTGGAAAGTAGAAAAGAGCTCCCCCCTTTTATGTTCTTATATGTGCCTTTCAAACAACACTCTTCCTTTAACGTGCAAGGGTATACTAGGGGGAAAAAACACATCTTTCCACCATTTTTTCCTTTTCCTTTTAGCTTGAACAACCAAAAGGAGGGAAAGACCCCTCTTTCCCTGTAGAAGGACTTCCCGTGCTTCGTACCTATTCCCTTCCAATTTTTCATCTTTCACGCCAAACACAGTCTAGATATATTTTATTACGTATAGTGGCTCCACATATGATGAACAAAAGGGCACGTAAACATTTCAAAGGAATAATGAATGAAGACCAATACCACAGCCAACCCCATCTGTGGGGCGCCCTACCAACAAAATCTTAAAGAATATAAGTAAGGAATTGAGGTTGCAAACCTGAATTCTACTTTCTTTGTTCCAAGAGCTAAGGCCATGCCGCACAAGAGTTACCTTCTTTGGTGAAGGAATCAACTTCTTGGTAAGTGAAGTTGTTGCTTTTTCAAAATCATATGCCCCACCAGTCATTGAGGTTTCATTTTCTAGTTTCTCTTCTGTAGATGCATAATCAAAATCATCTGAGTACAAGTACAAAAATTGATTTGCAAAAAAAAAAATAATAATAATAATGTATTTTTTTTACACTGAAAAGAAAGAAGAATGTTGCATCTTGCGTATATTACATTACAAGCTATGTAGGTCTACAGCCTGGTGAATTTAGCATGAGGATTTGTGCACCAATGAATGTAGCAACAAACAGGCAATTCACTTGATTAGAACATCCAAATTCCAAACGAGTAACAAGCTTAAATATCTGATTTCTATTATGTAAATGTGCTTTTGATTTATAAAGCATTGAGTGAACCCCTAAAAATATATATATATATATATATATATACGGTTTTGGTAAGTAGAACCCCAAAATCAAAATAATGACGAATTCCATTCTACACCATTAAACACATAAGTTAATTACAAAGGCTCCATATAGCACATCACAACCTTAGTTATCAAGAAACCAAGAAGAATTCCGCAGTCTATGTTACATGGATTCTGGTGTGTTTGTGGGGGTATAGTAAGTATGTGCATAAGCATCAGATTTATAAAATTTCCAGAACCCAAGGGCACGGGATCGCGGCTAAATATTACAATAAGCTCTTCTCTCAGCACCCCCATTTTCTCTGCTGTTTCTCAGAGAAAATCAGTGATTTTTTATTTTTATTTTTTTTTAGTCCTTCGATCTCCCCTTTCACTTGAAAAATAAAAATTTGCATACATTTCATAAATTAGAAATAAAAATTAAAAAAATCGTCTGCTTCGGTACATATTAATAACTTACAAGAAAAGGAATATCCATTGATCATTGATCCTTGTGTATACAAGTGATAATATGAATTGGGTTTTTGTAATTTCACAAAAAGTTGCAGCATGTAAGCATTGTACGCTAATAAATTTCAATACACCAAATGTTTCATAAAACCATCATTTTTGGCGGTTGAAATTCTACACGAGGATGTGTTATAGTATTTCAATATGATGAGAACATATATACTATATATAATAAAGAAGAAAGTTTTACCAGATAAAGAGAGGTGTGGGCTTGAAGATGAGCATCGAATTGGAAGCATTGGAGAACATGATGAATGAGTATGATGAAGCTTGCGAGATTGCTTAGAGTCTGAAATGGAATCCCAATAATAGAGAGGAGTGGCTGTGCTGAGAACTCTACAAGTCATCTTTGTTTCGTGAAGAGTTTTCTGTGAGTGGTGGTGTTCTGTATTTCGAGTTATGGTGGTGCTTTTCTTCAATATGAGGGCCCCACTAGCAGGATGTATATGTGACCGATGGGCGATGGAACCTATGCAAGTTGGGGTCCCCTACACTACACAACGACTCTGTCGTTGGTAGGGAACATTTTGATCTGATTGAATGGTGGAGATTGATTTGATTGGAATGAGTCCCCTTATATTTTCAAACTACTGCGTACTAAAATCCCCTCCTATGTACTAGAGCATCTACAGTGATTCACCGTATTGTATTGTCCGATGCGCGACATATTAGTTCATACGTAATTCAGTTCGATACGCGACTCGTATAAACAAATTTACATTTTGTCTAAGTCCGTTACACAGTAACCGCGACCGATTCTACGGACCATAATACTGTGAGATACTGAAATCTATAATAACTCATTTTTTCGTTGTATTATTACAGTAAGGATCCGTGCTCATTCTTGGATTGTGCACGGAGTAAGAGAGGATCTTAGGATGGAGTGATTTAGAAAGAAAAGAATGAATAGTGAATAAAATTTATTGAAGAAAAAAAAAAAAGAAAAAAAAAGAATTGGGAGAAATTTGGAAGGACAGAGTTAAAAAAAAAATATTTGTTTTTAAATCATGGAAAGCCACTTTGTAAGAAAGAGAGTGTTTAAATGATGGAAACCAAGAATGAAATACAAGTTTGGGACAGAGAATAAAGAGAGGAAATACAAGTTTGGGGGCAGAGAACGGACTTCCAGACAACCAGTTCGAAATCGAATAAGGTTGTGAAAGTGTCCCGCCTTCTTTTCTCTCATTTGAGGAAAAGAGGTTGTCCAAGTTATAAAGAAGACAAAAGGAGTGTAAACACACCTGCTTAACTTTGTAAAATGATTAGTATTACTTTTCTCATTTCTGCACCTAAGTTGGCTATATGGTCGATGAATTAGCTTGATTTAGGGCAAAACTAATTTGAACTGAACGTTGATTTGATTTGCCACGTAAACTAGAAAATCAAATCTAGCCCCAATAAGACAAATTGTAGATTCTTGTTTCATACAATTTTTGCTACCAATCCATATGCAAAGATATAATAAAAATTCCAACGAAAATAAGGAACGTCATAAATCCTGCTCCTAACATATTTATCTTGTATGTCATTCAAACACACAACAGCTCTAGGCAGCACAGATGACTAGCCAAATGTTTAAAAAAGATAAAACCATATATTCAAAATTCATGCGAGTCAAGACTACCCAAAAAGAGAAACAAAATTGCATTTAAATACCCAAACCGTGTGTAGTAGCCACACAGTTGGCAATTGGGTGCACCGTCTATAAAGATGAAAACTCGAAAAACAGGAAGAAACACAACTAATAAAATGGTGGAGGACAAGTGAGAAAAAAAAAGAAAAAAAAAAAAAAAAATGTTCTTCCAATATAATGATAGCGGCACAAGATATATCAGTAAAAAAAAAAAAGTACACCACCCCTAATTATTAAATCGGGTAATGAAACAACAAATGCTATTCATGAATCTGATTCCGGTGATCAGTCTCATCAGCTCAGCCATAAATAATTTGAAGGGAACCAGCAGCTGAATTCACGATTATTTCCGACTCCGGTAGGAACATTTGATCGCCTGGATGGAGAAAACAGGAACATGCCAATAATAAACCCCCTGCCAGAATTAAAAAAATATTGAAACAGAAAAATATCACAGCATGTCAGATGACTAATTCCTCTGAACTCAGGTATTTCATGACTAAATTTCTATAAGATGGAACATGAACTGTTGAAATCAAGGAGAAAAGAATTAGTGCTAAGGTCGTAACAGGTTTGGGATAGCTTTCTCATAAACGGCTAGGACTCAGATACGCCACCCAAGAAGCAACAATGAATTACGTCAATGCAATTGACCTCGATCCAAAATAACAAAACTCAAATATAAAGCTGATCCATCACTAAGGTAATAAAATTTAAAATATTAGTGATTAGAATTCTTCACTAGGGACGGATGAAGGACCATAAAAGTCTTTCAAGGAAAATCACCAATTAAACTCTATTTCCAATTTTTGCTGAAGCTCTTTGTTTAATAGATTTGAAGGTTATGAAAACACTGATTTCACCATCTCAAAATTCAATTATGTGAGATAAACCAGTATTCAATGCGATTGAGTCACTTGGGAGTTCATGATGGCAGGTTGTAAAGGTCATTTTACCAGTTATACAACTCGTGGTAGAAAAAGATGCACGTTAGAAATGAACTTGAAACAAATACACAGCCCATAAACTACCCAACAGAATAGGATAAAGAATTTGGCACCTCTATAAATCATGTACAACTTATAATCAAGAGGGAAGACCATAGTGACATTACAGCAAAAGCAATCCCAAATAAGACAAAAATCACAGCTCAAACCTGCTGTAAGCTGTTGCACAAGCATTTTAAAAAACACTTGGGTTTCTTACGCTTGTGTTGGTTACCGCTCATGAGAATGACAAGCGTCTTAGAGTTGCATTACATCAGTACATCATTTTCCCAGTCTAATTTTTTATGGATCAGTCCTCAGTCATTTTGCACTTAAATGACAGGAGACAATGATGTCACATGCTTTAACTTTGTTAACTTTTCATATTAAAGTGCATTTGTAACCGAAAGTAGTTCAAGGTAAGACTTAGAAATTATTTCTTAATGACAACTTAGAAAATCATTATCAAATCTATCACCCATATTAAATTACCAAGCTAAATTATATTATAAATTTATAAGTTTAGCAAAATTCATTAAAAATCATTGAAACTTACAACTCGTAACATTTGGGGGGTAAAACAAGGGTATTGCGACGTTTAGTAGTAGTTGAGCCAGTGAAAAAGAAATATCATGGTTCCAGCATCCGTATTCAATAAACGTTCATTACATAGCCTAACAATGCTCCCTTCCTAGATATTGTTGTGAGGGGTAACGTGCTCGATGAAGTAGAAAACATCACAGATGTAGTAGTTATCGGGTGCCTTAAAATATGCCTTCATTTGTGGAATATTAAAGAGTGCTAGTGGCAATGAGGATATTCTTAACGAGAGCATCCTATACAACATCCTCACCAACCATAGTTTCCTAATTCTATCATGTGGCAAACAAATGGAAGAAAATGTACACACTTCGCCTCATTTTTTTGAGGCACTTCCAATTCTCATGAATAAATACATTTCTTCTTCAACACTTCTCTTCTTTTTCCACCGTTACAGCAGAATAAGGGTGTGTCACCTTTTGACTGGAAGTACAAAGCATGATGCATGGCTTTGCCAAAAGGAATAGAACTCCAAGTGGGCTTATTTTAAGAGAAAAAAAACACATATCCTGCTGGTCCATGAAACAGTTTACATAAAACATTAATCAAATATAGCAACTTAAACATTAAGTAGTTTTGGTCATAGTATAACGGACAGATGGTGGTGAAATAACCTACCCCATCCCTCAGTATTTTCTATATGAGCATCTCTATGTTACATGTCCAAACTGCATTTGATGTATTAGTTTTTAAGAGCTTTAGTCTGCCCCAAACGATTCTTTCAAACATAAGAGGATTTCTATCTGAACTGTTGATTTTGACATAACAGAATTAAAATCAAAATCTCACATCAACTAAAAACCACTAAACAACTAATGTTACCTGTATATTATGCATTTTGCTGCACTTGTCGGTGTATTTGCAGAACCCAATCAACATAGCCATTTGTACCGCCAACCTGGTCCTCTAATAGATTTCCAAGTAAAAAGAAACCTTCTCTAGGTTGTTCACCTTGTCTTACAAGATGACACAGCTGATAATACGAAGGGTCATTCTCCCTAAATTTCTTGAGTAACCCCATTAGCTTTCTTGACATTTCATTATCACGCTCAGAAAGGCTAACCTGATTATCAAGAACAAAACAAGAATACAGCATCAGAGAGTGTCAATTACCAACAAGGATTAACTGTCAAACCAAACTTGTAATGCCAATACAAAGTAGAATGAGTAACAAAAAGTCAGCTAAACCAAAAAAAGAACAGAATATTTAAGCTTGCAACAGGTATGCTGAGGAACGAAACTCTTTCAGTGAAATCCTACAAGATGCAGAAGCATTCAAACTCTTCATCCAATTTATTGGAAATAATTGTTAAAATCAAATCTACCAAAACAAGTTAAGGAACGGTTCTTTATTAGATTCAGAACCTTGTACTGCTTAGTCCAGCAACATCCATTCTCATAAATAACTAAGAAAAAGATAAATATGAAGCTCAGCGTTTTCTCTGTAAAACATTTACCATGGTGGAATATTGACCAATATGATGCAATCATATCCATTTTTGAGTTTGATGAATGCTTGAGGCTTCATTAGACCTAAATGCAGAGCATCTAGCCCAAAGAAATTGGCAACTTGTTCTAAAATTAAGGATTCGCTCGAATAAAAGAGAATAGGTTCAAATTGTAAACTCGCAAGGCAAATGCTCGGCCCAAAACTCCATGGCATATAATATAGGATGAATTTTATTACGGCAAAAAGAACGCTTGAATGACCTTGACTCAAGTCATGCAAGAAAGAGATAAAAGAGTGCAACTCAAGCAACAAAAGTTGAAACTCCTGGAAACTTCATTTTCAAAGTTTCATGTGCACGAGGAATTACGTCTTAGGAAATTGAACAGTAAAGTGTTAGCAACTCCAGAGATTTAAAATCAAAATTCCCCCTTGTGAAGTTTGACGGTTTGCATATACTCAACTAAATAATTTCTCGAACGCTCATCTTCACAGAGCATTCAAGTCTTTTGATAAAACTTTCTTGTATTAATATAACCATGAGAATCAGTATGGTCTTGCATATATACTACATAATTGGCCGAATAAGGTTTTATATAAAGGTGACAGACTCAAACTGAACTCATAAGATTTTTCTTTCGTTCATACCAGGTAATTCCGTATTGTTAATTATCTTTAATCAACCTTCTATAAATTCCAATATTTTTGACAATATCATGCGAGTAAGGGACCTTATTTTAGTTCCATCCATGTCCAAAAGTAATGTCAAATGCAGATCACAAAGTTAATGACTATTCTAGCATATCAGAAGCAAAATAGAGGTTAATATCATATTTAACCAAAACATCATCCATCTGTATCTTCACAATTTTGTGTAACTTCAAAAAAGCGACTGTTTTAACACCGATTTGATTAGATTACGAACAGGCTTGACCACTTATAGTCAAGGTATGGTTGCAGCTACCATGTTCTCAGTCTACAAGGACACTACAATTTTAGCCATTCCTCCTAATGTTTTTTTTTTTTGAAATGTCAATATTTCATATATAATATTTCAAAAAAAAAAAAAAAACACAACAACAACATTAGGAGGCCACAACAATACATCATCCCAACCACCTACTCTTATACCAGAATACTTTCAGTTTTGACATAATCATGTTTCATGTCAGATGCTTCTTATCAGCGTTGAACATAAACATCCTGATGCCTATTAAATAAATCAAAACCTAAAATGGCCATATAAAAATGTGCACAAAGCATTTAATAGTTTCAAATTTATAGCTTATACCCTTGAATAGTCTGTTGCAAAGTCTTCCCCAAGTAGATTCATGGATACATCGGGTGAAAGCATTCTGCCAAACCATATAACAAACCGAAAACCATCATCGTAAATATAAAGTCCTCTGGAGTCTAAGCTTTCTGCAGTAAGTGGTAGCCTTTTCCAAGTGTTGACAAATTCATCAGCTTGAGGAGATGCCTGCATATAAGATATGCAGATGTGACTTTACATATTTGAAAAATTAACCACATTATTGAAGAAAAGTCGAATGAAAAATATATATGTATATACCTTTAATAGATACTCATCAACCCTAATCAAATTAGGATATAGAAGCTTCAACAATTTTTTAACAGGTAGAGTCATCATGGTGTATCCTGATGCACATCGTTCATCAAGCTGAACATCAGCATATCCACCGCGAAGGGGTGTTGATTTACAGAGAGCTAAACCATACAAAGGCAAAAACTTCAATGATTCAGGGTAGATCATCCGGCCTCCCAAACGATGTTGCACAGCATAGAGATTTCGATATTCTCTTAAGGCTTTGACGATCCTTTGAAGAACAGAATTTCGAGCATCTTCCAGTTTGTAGGACAGAGATTTCTCGATTGCTGCAGTTTAATTCACTTCGTAATAAGAAAAATAACAACCCACCTAAATCTAAGTTTCACAGTTACATATTGCAAAACAATCAACCAGGTTGAGGGTGGGAGGGAAGGAAGTTTTATTGTACCTAGCCTGGATAACAAAGAAACAATGGCACCAGCATCAGCCTGGCGGTACATCTCTCCCAGATCTGTAACTACCGGTGCTGCTGCTGTATGTACTCTAATACGCCTTTCTCCAGAAGATGAAGTATATCTTTTGATGGTTAAGAAATTTTAGACATTTGTAAACTGCCCCACTCCAATAAAATTGCACTGGGAGCCTGGGATCCAACATTAATAGCTAGTGCATATATCCAGCAGGAAAAAATACAAATAAAGCACACAATCTAGAACAGCAGAGTAACTGGGAAAGAGCCTTGAAAAGAATATATCCTTTGTGAGATATCGATTATGAGAAATGACTCCAAGATAGGATTTTTCACACTCAATTACCTAATAGATATGGTCACCCCAAAGTATCAGAGATAGGGCCCTACAAAGCCATTTGAGTCAAAATTTGTCAGCTCTGAAGAGAGGAGAACAATGTATTTCAGAGGGGGAGGGGGTTAGAGACCAACTAGACACGAGCAGATGATTCAGAAGCACAAAATAACACGAGATTATAATCAAGTTCTTTTTTTATATATAAAAATATATTTTAGAATGGAAAGAAAATTTGAAAATAAAAGGGAAAATTGTTTTGCCAGTGACATCCACACGCGCAAGAGCAGAGTCGGCAGGTATGCTTGAATCCTATTTTCATTAACTAAAGGATACAATAATGCAACTTGGAAATATACAGTCTGAGTTGTCAGTAATGTTTCTTCAAGACATAACTGCATCGCGTAAGCTTTGTCACAATCTACAGCTGGAAGTGCCAATAAATCTGTGGATCTTAGCATAAAGTGCCCATGATAAGTTGTGAAGCGAACACCTAGCGGAAAATGAAATCAGCTTTCAGTATCCATATGATTAACCAAGAAACTTAACTAGGAAGTTGAACGGAAAATATAAGCAAACGACTTGAGACTAGCAGTTTTTTTGGTATCAAGAGAGATGACCTTTTCCACATCTTATGCGCATGACAGCTTCCCAAGCAGTTTCTCTTGTAAGATCTCTGGCTAATTCATGACTCAACCTCTCTTTGTGAATGGTTGATTGGAAACTTGGATAGTAATATGCCTGACCACCAGTATATTTTACCAAAGTTCCTATATAGAAAAATCAAAGTTGGGAATGTGATTGTCACATGTACATAAATATCAAGTGTATTATAATTAAAAGCTAGAATGAGAGAATATAAACTCAGTGATTCAAAACTTCTATAGCCCAAGAAGTTGGAAGCTTTATAGAAATTTATGGGGAAATTGCAAACTGGTGCTAAAGAACACGCTGTGAAGATTTAAATATTATAGAAGACAAGCGAAAAGCATGGCTATTTGGTTATTCAGCAAGATTATGATATATACCTTGCCAAAGACATTTTATTATATTTAACTTCAATTGTTGTTTTATATTTTTCTTTTTACATTAATCTCGGGTATTTTGGTAAATTTATTTGGCAGTAGAATGGTCCTGCATGGCTTTGTTTTTGGGCTTAGTTATATAATTTTTCCACATTAAATAGGTCTAGTGATGAAGGCCCAAGTCTTGACACTTGGTTCCAAGATTACTTGGCCACGTGTTGCTTCCAAGCTCAGGTCCTCTACATATGGTGAATCAGATGACCGCGAAGCATCGGACATGAAACTACCTCAGAAGTCCAAAAATTTATAATGAACACAAGGAATAACACAAAATAATTAGTCATAGCAGCAGGCATAAAAGGCGAAAAAATTCATTACACACTCAAATAAGTTACAAAGTGTCAATAAAAGGTTCTTATATTTCAATTTTGGTCTCAGCGTTGATCTACTTGATGTGAAACATGACCAAGCATAAAACCATAGTCACATACCTAGGGAGGCTATATCAGTGTACTTGTCACTGAATGCATATGCATTCACCGTTATCTGATACTTGGTAAAATCAGCAGCCATCTGTTTATAAAATGGATCTTCTGGTATTCTTAATGCCTGCTCTTTATCTGTTCCATAAGCACGATGGTCATCTCCACGCAGCCTTAGGCGCCCAACACCAAGCGATGGCAGTGTATTCTGGAAAATCAACAATTTACCGCCAAGTTGGTTCTGCGAAGGGGGGGGGGGGGGGGGGAGTAGTAGTGTTAGGTCTAAAAGTCAATACGCCAAAAAACTACCTTGAAAAAGAAATAAGTAAATTAAAAACCAATTAATTAGAACAGGAAAGACTACTTAAAAATTAAGAAATAACTCAACAATGGTCACAAGTCAAAGTTTAAAAGGTGCTTATATAAAGAAACTAACACACCATAACCATGAATGCAGCTCTAAGAGCTGGACCAAAAGCGGATTCCACATTCAAATTGTCCTGAAACATGGATGGCAAGCTATCTAGGAATGCATCCACCACATTTCTTGATTCTGACAAGTTGACAAGCAGATCATCTGGCAACGGAATAAATGTATCATCCAGATCCGCCACCACCATCATTTGGGGCTGCGTCAAAGTTGACTGGCAGAAGAAAAACACACAAATTATTCAACAAGGATTAATGCTATAGCAGGGGAACTTGAGGTGTGCCACATAATCAGTTGTAACACAATTCACTTGCCTTCATATTATAAAAATGTATTGTGCTGTCAAAAGTTATGAAACCAATCTGTGTTCTGGGGAAGCCAGGCAATCTATCCAAACAAGACTTAATTGTTTGAGCAACAACCTGCAAAATAACAATGAAGGTGAACATAGATTCAAGAGAACTTACACGAACTCTCCTAAGTGTGTAAATAATTCGTGTCAAACACGAGACTATGACATAAAACAGGTGGATATGTATCCGAGATGTCCGGTTGGACTTGCATCTAGCATGCATATCCAATAATTCATGTTCACTACATTAACAACCTCGTCTTTGAGTTTTGCACAAAATAAATGTCCATACTAAACACACTATATAAAAACACTATTTTATTCGAATAATATTTTTAAAAAAATTATCAATTTTTAGCTGCATCCCAGTGTTCTTATGTTTGGGTATTTAATAAATCCGACACAACACGTGCCCTATTCCAATTAACAAAGAAAATAAGCCATGCCAAAGATCACATGCAAGCACAACTATCATTCAAGTCTTGATCAACTAAAAGACAATGAAAAATAATAACTGACGATCTCACCTTAAGAAGGAAGTCCACAACTACATGACACCAACTTTGATGAGGTAGTAGTAAACATTATCTTTCTTTTTTGTTAGTTAGTAGTAAACCTTATCCATGTATATGACATCTTTACTTATTAATCTTTTAAAACAAGACAAATACGCGTGACCCAGCTAGCACTTTGAACCCTGCACCTCCTTCTTTGGGAGAGTCGGGAGATACAACTAACAGCGACAGTGCATAGCACAAATGTACCATTCTGGTAAGTATAAACACTATGATTCGTACAAAAAGCATTTCTAAACAAATTACAATTGTGATCCCTAATTACAAATTTCATACATCCACAAATCAATTTCATTATTCTATCTGGCAGATAATGAAAAATGGACTTAGCATTGCATTCCTATGCAAAAATAATTTTGTTCACCAAATAAAAAATATGTGCAAAAATAATTTTGTTCACCAATTAAAAAATATGTCAAAGGCAACTGTGTACGGTATTTCAGAACTTTAAGGCTGTGTAACAACCAAGTTTCAGATTAATACACGCCTGAGGATGGTACAATGCAAGATGAATTGCTATAAATCCACCCTTGCTAGTTAAAAGCGCTTACCTCAAGCATTCCACTTCTAGCAGCAGATACTGAAACGTCAATGAGGAAAAAATATAGAGGTGGCATTGGAGGCCGCACCATGTATTCAGCTGGAGCAATAAACTCAACACTGCCCTTGGTAAGCTCTGGCCGTTGATCCAAATCAATTCTTCGGCCAGTGGCATCCAAATGGGCAAAATAATCACCCGGAACTGGACACGATAGTTGAAATAGATCAGCATGTATGCCTCGAAAAATATATAGAATGAATATACCTACTGTGAGAGTCATTCAATTTCTACCACCCTTAAGAAGTTGCAATTGCAAAAAAATATTGTTTCAGAAAACAGAATTGACCGAGCAGCAGGTGAAGCAGTGTGATTCGAGGTCGTATTGCAGATATCACCCATCTACAATAACAACAAAAATGACGCCCATCCACACACACAGAGGGAGAGAGCCAAACCATAAAAAATAGAGGAGAAATCAATGTAAATGATGCACTGCAATCTGCTGTAACTGTATACAGCAGGCCAACAATCCTTAAGTCATTTTAACCATGAAATAAGTTGCAATGCATGGAACACCTACTTTTTCCAAAACAGAAATGAGAAACATAGCCATACCAAATGTCTCTTGATCAAACAACTTTTCTTTTCTTTTTTTTTTCTTTTTTTTTTGTTCTTTCTACTGAAGCAAACTGGTCCAGCACACATAAACCGGCCAATCAAAAAACAAGTAGTTTTGGGGAGTTTAATAGCTAGTATTAAGAGTTAAAAAACTAATGAGTAAAAGAACTTTTTGATGGTTCAAAAATCACAATATACAATATGGATGACTAAAATAGAAAAGTCCATCAGAACAGGCAAGAAAATAAGGGACAAGACAGTTCAATAAGCTGGTATTGTTCTGTAACTATTACAGCTTCTTGAGGGAAAGAGATGGGAAGTTCCATCATGAGAAAAAATAATAATAATAACAAAACAGGATCAGATTCAATTATATAAAACTGTTCTTATATAGTCATATTAACACAAAAATTGGGTTTACAGTAAAAGAGAAAGAGGGAGCATATTTTTCTACAACCATCCCCAAGCATCATTAAATTCACAAAACCTGGAGAAAATTCAAAGCATATCAAATATCAGAACGAATCGCATGCCACGTGTTAGGATTTGAGTCTTATGTGTTGGCAAAACTCTGTTCAAAAATGGTTTTGATGTTGAACAAAATGTCACTGCGTGTCCCATATGAGCCAGATTACCATGAAAGAGCATTGATTAAGAGAAGATTGGAAAGGAAAGGATTCGAACAGGAAATTGACTTAAATACTTCATCAGACTTGAAGCATACATTAAGTAAAGGTCAGAGAGACCTTAGCGAACATAGCGTTTAGATTGGAATTTGGATAAATTATTAGTTAGATGGACTTCCCTGAACCTATGTAATAAGTATTTGAACTTAAAAATAATGAGTTTTGATAGTTCAGAACTTATAATAGATTAAAGATCAAAAAAATCAAGTTGGATTTGGAATGACAATGAATCGCTCTCTATAACACATGAAGGATCGAATTATGGAAAAACTGCATAGAGGGAGCAATGATCTACCTCATTCCAGTAAGAACCTTAACTTTGTAAGAGTTGTGACGGCCTACGGCCAGTGAAAGAGCATGAGTCAACAAAGGAGCACTAATTCACTACAATAAGGGCAAATCACATAAAGACAAATTCAGTGATCCACAGCTACTAGACTTGTTGAAGACAAGTGTTAGGTAGATTGGATGTAAACCAACGTAGGTTAACCTTAAGGGTAAAACTTGGATTGTTAGCATCTAGATTAAAATTGTGTGGTATTAATATCCTTATTGCAGATGAAACTGAAATATGATGTGGAAGTGTATGTGCACAATAGGCATGTGGATGGAATGACAAGTATACATTACAAAAAAAAATTTAAAGGAGGTCCCAAAACATTCATTATATTCCTTATGTGATTGGTGACACACAGAAATTACAAATGAATGTACAAAAAAAAAAAAAAAAAGGTATTAAACAAGGCACCCTCCGCTACTTTCTGAAGAACCCAAAAATGTTCATGACAGAATTCAATGTTCAAAAATCTTGCTTCTATAAAGCCCCAGCACTTCCAAATAATAAATCATATTGCTGTGTTTACGGATTGATTGTAAATGTGCAGTGATTAAGTAAACAAGTTAGTTGTTAATTTACCGTCATTAAGCAAAGCACAGATGTTGCAACGCCACTTTCTTCCACCATCTGTGAAGGTCACATAGGGATTCACATATGTGCGACATCTTCTACAACGAATAATGCCAGTTGTGGCAAAATTTACTATTGGAACTTCCTCCTGAATGAAACAGTTTGAAAGTTAAAGATATGCACAGATTATAATTGAACCAAGCGGAACATCAATAAACTGCAATTGTTATGAGTGTGTAATACTCACCCCTTCAGGAGCTTCTGCGAGAGGGCAAACAACTGCTCCAAGTGGTAAATGCCACCTTGAAACCAATGACTGAGCATTTGGTATGGCACTAGTAGTAAGCCTTAGAAATCTAGAACTGCAATTCATGGGGTACATTTCAGCAAAGGACTTTGGCACTGCATCACCATCCAATGGCCTCGGCAGAGATTTAGAATCAAGTCCAGGATCAATTGATCCTGGAATAGAGCCAACAGAGAGAGAGCTGAAGTCTTCTATCAATCCCTGCATAGATCCCATAGGAGGTCCAGAGCCTGGATGCTGCATATGTTCCCTTGAATACATGCCTAACGGAGCTGGGGGAGCATAACCACCTTGATTGGCAAGAAAAGGACCAGGTGGTGCCAGTGAGGGTGGAACATAACCTCCTTGATGAGCAGGAAAGGCAGCAGACTGTATAGGTGGAGCTTGTGTAACTGCATTAGACTGCTTACTGGGATACCCAGGAAAAGCTGGCTGAAATTTGGCATTGGCAGCAGGATAAGCCGACCCTGTTGGGGGTGAAGATGGCTGCGAGGGTGGCCCTAACGACTGGCGAGGAGCATTCATGGTTGACGGCATGGAGCTCATGCTTTGAGGTGGAGATCCCATTGGCACCAGTGGCATCTGAGGCTGTTGATTAAAATTAACTTGTGGGGAAGAAACATAACCCCCCGGAGGTCTAATTGTCGATGAAAATGCTTGCCCCATGGGTGAACTGCGTGGAGGGGGTACTTGGCCCGTTGACGGAAACTGTGGTGTTGGGAAACGCTGGTAAGGTCCTCCTGAAGGTGGGGCATACGATGACGGTGGAGGCGGCATAGATGGATCATTAGACCTTCCCGGTGGTGCAGGTCGGAAACCAGAGGCATCTGATCCAACCACAGGCCCAGATGAAGAGAAAGGTACAGCAGTCCGTGGAGCATTTGGTGGAGTAGGTCTAAAAACAGAGGCCTCTGAGCCAGCCACAGGGCCAGATGACAAAAACGGCGTCGCACTCTGAGGTGGAGGAGGAGGAGGAGCAAAGGGGGAAGCAGCAGATCGTGGAGAAAAATTGGGACGTTGAGGATTTTCAGTCCCCATGGCTCTCATATCTCACGCTCGATCTCCTTCCAATGGTTTTACTTCACTGAGTTAACCTAACCTAAAAGAACATGCAATTCAAAACATCTCACTGTTGATAAAGCAAAAAATCTATATACCTAAACAGTCAAACCAATTTTGATGTGAATCATGATAGCATCAACGAGGATTGAGCCAATTGACCATGGAAGCAATATCAAATCCAACTAAACATCAACGCTTGAGAGGAAATTAATGAACTTATGTGACAGTGGTGAATCAAAGACTGAGAAGGTCAAATTCGCATCGAATGATTGTCAACCAGCGGTGTAGTAGAGATGCTGAGACTTACCTGATCAGAGATCTCGCCGGAGAGTCGTCAACGGAAGTCGGAGAGAGAGTCGACGATTGACAACAGAGGGTTAGCAGACATCCAGATGTTATTGAGAGAGAGAGGTGAGCGGGTTGAGTTACACTTACACTCCGATTAGAACAATGAAGAAAAGTATAATTATTAATAGCAACTAATTTCAGAGAAATTTAACCCAAAAAAAAAATTAATTAATTTCAGAGAAAAATTAATTACTATTAAAGATTAAGTAAAAGAGAAAATACAATAAAACAATACGATGACGTGATTAATTATAGGCGGTCCCATTTTTTGAGCTGACGTGGTGTTCGACTGGGGGAGGAGATGTGTGTGTAAATGGGTTTATATTTCATTATGTCTATTTTTAACAAAGAAATAATTAAATGATGGATTATTAATTAAATTTAATAATATAATTATTTATATTTAAAATAACACTTCATAATTTTTTCTTAATCAGAAATAGAACTAATTATTAGTTGAACAGGATCAATATCGAATAAAAAGACAATCCTCTCCCTGGAAAAATAAGCAAGTATAAAAATAAAAAATTTTATGAAAACAAAATTTTTCATTATCTTTCTTTTTCCTTCTATCAAATTCTAAAAAAATTCAAATATTTTATTTTATTTCCTTTCTATTCTAGTTGATTCCAACTAACCAAAGGAGCCTTAATCTTTAGATTTTCCACCTTATATTTATTTAATCTTTAGATTTTCTATTTTTTTGAAATAATATACTAGGGGCGGAGCCAGTGTAGTGCATGCCCAGGTGTAACAAGGGTCATTTTGTCCCACATCGGAATCGGATGGGAAAGAGATTGGGTATAAATGGGTGGGTATGCAGCCTTACCTAACAGTTCGAGCTTTTAGGTAAATGGGCAAGCGCCCACCCGTTACACTTGGTATCAGAGCCAGACCCAGTCCTTGATTCGGTGCTACGCCAAGCGCCCGGCCCGGAAGGCGTCCGGGTGAGTCATCCCGGATAGGCAGGGTGGCCCAACCGCAACGAGGGCGTTGCGAGTTTGGGTGGGAGAGAATGTAACAAGGGTCATTTTGTCCCACATCGGAATCGGATGGGAAAGAGATTGGGTATAAATGGGTGGGTATGCAGCCTTACCTAACATCCCGACCTGGCCTATATATGGTAAAAAAAAATATTTATGCACAAATATATGAAAATTTTAAATTAATACCCCCTAAAATTATTATTCCGTAATTTCAAAACTATCTATTAAGTTTAGTTATTTTTTCTTTTAATTCCATAAAAAAATTAAAAAAAAATTAAATTTTCTTTCTTAAATTAAATTCTGTCATTTTCCTTTTTTGTTTCTTTTTCTTCTGTTTTTTTTTTTCCTAGCCGTGAGCGTACTCATATTTATACAAAGAGGCAGATGCAGCAAAGGCTTTACGTTAGATCCATTTTCATAATAGTAGAAATATATGATTATATTATCTCATAATTTGCGAATGTCATCGTATTTTAACAGTTGGTTACTCTCCGTTATCTTGATTTCAAGTATTTGCAACTTATAACTTCTAATCTAACATTTTTGCATTTTTGCATTTAATATATATAGAGAGAGAGAAAGAGTTAAGTCTAAAAAAAAAAAATCCTTATTATATAAAAAATGTGCAAAAAATACCTCTATTAAAATAAAATTAAAAAAAAATACATATAATTCCCTATATTATTCATTATTTGAGCAAATTGCCCCATATTAAATAAATCTGATGAAAATTAGTCATAGTGATGTCATTTTTTTTTCTTCTCAAAATCCAAAAGTACCAATTTTTTGTAACAAGAATGCCCCTACCAATTTTGTTTATATTTGAAAAGTGAATGTATTTGTTTGCATGTACATGAAAACTATCTAAAGAAAAATTTATCTCTAATGTTATTTTTCTCTCTAAAATATCTCTATGTTGCCGTTTAGCAATTTGTTTCTAATAAGCCATTATTTTATTTTTCATTTTTTTATGACACTATATTTTATTTGATTTGTCAAGTAAGATTCTGGCACATGTACATCATTTTTAATTTTTAGAATATTATTTATTTCAATATAAATATAGAGAGAAACATTTTCCTCTCTAAAATTTGTCTGTGTTATCTCTCTCTAAAACAGGAGAAAGAAATCAGTGACGGAGTCAGGATTTCAAGTGAGGGGGTACACTGCCAAAAAAATAATAATAAAAATACGGAGTACATATATATATATATATATATATATATATATATATATATATATATATATATATATAACAACTATAAAATTTAAAAAGACAAAGAAGAAGAAAATTATTAAAATATAAAAGGAAAATGAAAATGAAAAAACTTTAATAGGAAATAGTTAAAAAGTTTCAATTAAGAAAGAAAAATTTGACTTTTTCTATTAAGGAAATTTAAGGGATTTGAAGGGTAAAAGAGAAAATAAAGAAAAAATAAGAATATAATTTTAGGAATTACAAATTTGAGGGGGGCATTATATAAATTTTGTCATATATATGGAATTTTTTTAAAAAAATTACCACATATATTATAGGTTGCTGGCTAATTCAGGGGGGCACGTGCCCCCCCTAGGCCTTCATTGGCTCTGTCCCTGCCCGAAATTAACAAGCTTCAAGAAATTTCATAATATCAACAGAGAGCCAGAAAGCACGATCGCTCCAAAAATCAGCAATTCAATTTCAATCTCTTCAAGAAGATCAAGAAGAAAAAATTAAGAATTAGTTGCAAATTTTCGTTATAAATATATAGAAATCATAAAAAGAAAAAAAAAATGGATATATAAAAAATAGAGGAAAATTAGATAGAAAATTACTTCTTGTGTTAAGTTTGGATCAATTCTATGAGTATTTTCATTTGTGTGAATTTGTTTAGTTTTTATGCAAATTTTACACTTACATATTCCTTATTCAAATTTTAAGTTTGTGCACAAATACAACATGCTATTCCTTACTAGTTAAGCAATATTGTCCCAATCTTTTGTAAATAATTGGGTTTATTTATAGTTATGGAATAAAAAACATGGCTGGTAGGTGCGTGAATAAAATGTACAAATACAAGGAAGATGGCTAAACATGAGAATTGAGATTAAAGAGAGATACTGAGTATATATATATATATATACATCGATAATTATATAGAGAATTGTTATGTCATGGTAGGCGGAAAAGAAAAATATGACTTTTAAAATAAATTTTGACATTTTGCCTTTTGCCTTCTTTTTCTTTTTCTTTTTTTTTTTTTTTCTTTTTTGTTAATGATAAAGTAAGGTTAAATTAGTAATTTTACTACCAAAATTATGATTTGTCCTTATTTGCACAAATTGAAAAAAGTAGGGATTTTTTCTAACAATAGGTGGTAATGGCACATTTTGTATATTATGAGGTGTATACATCCCATAGGACAAGACTGACCTACTTACAGGTGAGCAGGTCATCCTTACTAACCGCTAATGTGGTTCAATCACAAATACATGCATGCGATACTCAGGCAGAAAAATTAGACCGATTTATTAGGCAGGATATATGTGGCACAAAAAGATAAATTAATATGGCAATCAAATGGTCCCATTAGCATATCTATTAAAACAATATAAATTTTCAGAAACAAAATTATCTTTATATTGTCTTCTTGTATTCATCCTCCCTTTTTTAGAATCACTTAATTAAAATCATTGATTAAAAAACAACTATAATTAAAAATTCCTTTTATTAATTTTATTAGAACATTATATCTCTCTAGATAGATGTATAATAATATATAAATTTCTAAAAAGAAATCATCAATATATATATAAGCATACCGTAATTTAATCTCCATAATTTTGTTTTAAAATTTTTATCAAAACACTCTCCCTATGTTAGCAAACCAGTACCAATTGGTACTGACTTCCTAACACCCTCTCCTATGTATGTATATATGTGTGTGTATATATATGTTTAAGAATATACAAAATTTCGCAAAACATAAAAAATAATTATAAATAAATAAAAAGTTTTTAAAATTTTCATCATAACAACATAGGGTGGTGATGCCGGAGATAACGGGATCAGTGACGGCTACGGTGGTGATGCCGAAGATAACAGGAAGAAAACCTTATACTGTAAAGTGATACATTTGTGTATCCTGATCAGCAATCAATATGGTAATGGAGAAAAAGGAGAGAGAAGAAAATAAAGAATGATTTGATTATGGGATAAAGATGGATGAAGATATTGTTAAATGGGATTCTGCAAGGATAGTTTTGTCTTTAAAATTGTATCTTTCTAAGTGTAGTACAGCTATAGTGACACATCACCATCGGCTTGAGTTTTGCGCTTGAGTAATTGGTGCAAGTATCATTTTCCATTACAAAATAGAAAAATAATAGAGTTCTATTTTTGTAACTCATATTTCACGAAGGGAAAAAGGAAAATGATAAAAGCCGTGATGGGTATTTTTATTGACTAATGTGCCTTTCATTTATGAGCAAGGGCGGATAGGGGGTGGGTAAATAATCTGCGAATTTGATCCGATTCGTGCGAATCAGATTGCTACACCCATAGATCAGTGGCCGATTAAAAAAAATCAAATTCGTAACTCACAGATTCGGTTGTTAAAATTCCGACCCGATCCAATTTGTTATTACAGAATCCAATCCGTGGCCACCCCTAGGAGGGAGCCAGGATTTTAGTTTACGGGGCATAGTGTAAAGAAAAAATATATATATTTAAAGGAGTAGAAGGGAAAAAAAAAAAAAAAAAGAAAAAGAAAAAAAGAAAGAAAGTAAGAAGACAACCCATGCATCCTAAAATTTCTTTAATTTCAATTCATTCCCTATCTAATTTTTGTTCGATTCCAATATATTAAGTTAATTACTTTTGGAGTAACAAAAAGTATGCATGTTTTCTTTCATGTTGGGATGGCAAAAATCTCCACTATAGCTAGCTCTGTCCCGCCCCACCCTATTCGAGAGTGATTTTGAAGAATCAATTATATAAATAGGGATAGAAATGAAGGCTCTTTTAAAAAATCCTTTTGGGACGGTTTCGAGGGATGGTTGGCCCACTTGTCCCGTCCCAATTATATTATAAATTTATTAAATTACTCTTACAAATTATAATATATTACTAAAATATGTCAAGTATATATATTAGCGACAACAAAATTTCCCATTCCGGCAAGGACCCGCCTCATTTGGGGCAAATTTGGAAAACTATTTATTCAGAACATAATATACAAAGGTCAAACTTTGTATATTTGTAATAACCATGTTTATGGATTTTTTTTTATTAGGTGCCTAAAATAGTAAAATGAAAGCAGAAGAATACAACGATAGAGACAAAAAAAAATAAAATAATAAAATATCCCTCAACAATCTTTACATTTATTTGATTCAAATCGCTCTTTCATTGTCTCCTTTATATTCAACTGTTAGTCTGTTAGCATTTATTTGTCTATTATCTATTAAACTATTTATTAATATACTGATGGCTTTGTTATGTGCAACATTTATTGTCCAATGTTAGCCATGGTCTATATGAAGAAAATGATAGCCCTCAAATTTGTTGCCTTTCTTTTTCTTGACGACTAAAATTTTTTCACATGCATTACAGCGTACAGGGCCTTCTCTCTTTCAAAGTTTGATCTGAAGTCAATCTCCTTTTATGTTTGTGTTTTCCTTGAAGTCAATTTCTTGGTTAATTAATTATAACTTGTTCATTTTTAGGCATTTGACAAATGCAAGCAATAAATTAGAAGACTATAATTAGCAATGGGATGAAATTTTCATGATAGTCATGCATGGAGGATTTGGATCTCCTATAATTTTTTTTCTCTCCAAGCCTCCATCCAAGTATCAAAACCATGCCACATCATCATTTGTGACGCATAGTGTTTGGTTTCACACACAATTTAATTCAAACAAAGATGACGATGATGTGTTGTTTTTGTTTTCCCCATAGTTTTAGACTTGAGTTTTTAGTTCGAAAAAAAAAAAAAAAAAAAAAAGAGAGAGAAGTGAAAAATCAAGACTTATAAAAAATTGTTTTGGAACCATTTTGGGTATTTACGTAAATATTTTGTTCCAAATTACCCATATATGGTGAGATTTAATTAAAGGTGAGTAATGAAATGAGGGAATTTAGCCCACCCAAGCTGGCTGCATTAAGAGTGACAAAAGTGACATGGATTGGTTCATAAAATGTAAAACACACTTTATATTTTTTAAGATACATCTGTTCATCTTAGATTTAGAGAGATTGATTAAACTCAGAATCAACTGCACATACAATGAATACAAAAAAATAAAAATAATAAAAAAAAATTACAAATTAAAAGCCCAACTAATACAATACTACTTTTCTCTTGCATTTGTATAATCAAACTCTTGCACGCTTAATTAAATTACATAATGATAGACAAAATTAGTTATAAAGTTGAAACATAGTACATTCATGCTCAAGAAAAAGGATACTAATTTAGAGTTTCAAAGTTCACAATTGTTACCGATTTATGTGGGTAGGAGATCATGATTACATCAATTCTCACTCACATAAAATTAATAGTCGGATTTGTGACTTTTGGACTTTCAACATTACTCTAAGAAAAATTAAGGATCTCCTTAAAACAAGGGAGAAAAATTAAAGGAGGTTTTGTTGTCTACGGTTTTAAAGTGAGAAGATTAACGACACCGTGAAGAGAATAGAGAAGCAGCAGAAAGTAAATTACTGAAGCAACGAAACCGGCGATGAGAGCTCCGGTGACATGGTCACAGAACTTTGGAACTTGCCCACAAATGGGTAGCCAACCAGCATGAGAATTGCCATTCTTGCCCACATTACCTATTGCCAAAGCAGCTGATATGCTTGAAATGAGCAATGATGATATAACCTAAAGAAGATTAGAGGGAAAAAAAACAGGAAATAAAAACCACTTTCAAATAATTATAGAATTAAAATAGGAATGAAAAAGAAAAAAAAATGGTTAATTACCAAATCCAAGACCAATACAAAGCGCCAAAGTGAAGTCTTGGAAGGAAGAAAGAGAACTATAAGGCCATAGCCGCTTGCAATTGCATTTATGATCATGAAATACCTATAACAGAAATTTTAGTAGTAGAAGAATAAGAAGAAAATAAAAATAGTAAGCATGATTTATGTTGTATGACAATGTTTCTGAGGAATTAAAAAAAAAAAAAAAAAAAACTTACTTAAATGTGGGAGAATTGTTGTATTTGGCTTGGAATGACATGTTCAAGACCTTGGCGGAGTCGTGGCTGGTGACCATGACAATGGTTGCAGAGATGGTTGCAGCCAAGGCTAAGAGCCTGAGAAGAAAAGTAAGAAACTTCTTGGCCTTAGTCATGGAGATTAGCTAGCTTCAATGGACAATGGGTGTAATGGGAAATTGAAAAATGAAGAAGAGAGGGACAAATGAGGCTTTAAATGTCAAACAAAGCAATACATAAATTGTGTGGCAAAGAATGGTAGGGTAAGAGAAATGGTGTGTTAGGAAAGACAGATAAAGGAAGGTGAACTAGTGAGTGTTCTTTCCAATTTCATAGGACATTTTGTTTGGTAGTGAATCCAGTGAAGGGACAGAACTCCTGTGCAATATCACAATAAATCAGACTTATTTTTTAGGGGTTATATTAATAGATAGATTGTGTGATTTATTTATTGTTTATTACACGTGTAGTGTTGATGTTGTTGCATGGGAGATTGGTGCCTCTAGAACCATTGACCTTTTGGGGGAATGAAACTAAGTATGCAATTGTCAGTTCAACTACCCATCACTTGAATTTGTACGTCTCTCACCAGCTTTAATTACGTGGACCTTGAATGCAATTTCTCCTGCGAATGGGAGGAAGTGCCCTTTCCCAGATATGGGTAGTTGTATGTCAATTTGAAGAGCCAGAAATTTAGGTAAACACTAATTCCAGTAAAAAACAAACACTTAAGTATTGCATATAGTAGTAATATTTGTGATTTTAGCATAATAATCTACCTAATTATTGCAAATAGTAAGCCAATAGAGTACCACCACATCACATAAGGAAAACATTTCCCAAAAGAAGAAAAAAATTTGGCTTTTTGAGTAGTTCACGGTGATTGCAAATGCCCCCACAAGTTAGGTGTTAGAAATTACACATCAAATCGGGACAAAGAAACTTATATGGGGTGTGTATTCAATACTATTTAATCGTTTAAATTTTTAAGTTAGAAAGCAAATAACCCTATAATGATATTAATGAGTAATATCTTTATCAAAATATTTTTCCTCTCATTTTGGATGGTTTGGGAAATTTGACAAATTAAGGACTTGCTTAGTTTGTAACCATGAAAACGATTTTTCATTCTCAGAAAATGGAAAAGTGCACAAAAAAAACTCTGCTTGATTCAGTTTTCTGAAAGTTGTACAAAAAAACTATGCTTTGGTTCAGTTTTCTGAAAATTGTTTTGTGAAAACTCAATTATAAAAATGCTTATTTTAGAGAACAATCTTTGATAGTTCTCTGATAACTGTTATCTGTTTTCTAAATTTCTAAAAATTATTTTCTGAGTTACAAACCAAACATGACCTAAGTTTTCCGGTTGAGGTCTTCATGCCCCATTCTCTGGGTTGGTGGGTTGTGTGTGGCAACTCCAGCTCTCACTGTTACGAGGCCAGCCCAAGTTGATAACTTGATATATAATTGGGTTTTCCAAGGTCAGCGTTGATATAATTGGTCCGTTTGGATAATTGGGTTTTAGTTTAAAAGGCCAGCCCAAGTTAGTATAACAAATGGACTGGTTGGTCCAAATTGGGTTTTAGGAGGCAAGCCCAAGTTAGTTCAGCTCGGTTTGGCTTAATTTACAGCTCTCACAGGGAAGAGAGAGGAGAGAGAATGGAGATCAAACAAGAAGCAGAAGACGACGAAGGGCCGCCGCCCGGTTGGCAGTCCATCCCTCCGGCCCAATCGCCACAACAAATGGTGGAAGACGAAGAAGAAGGGCCACCCCCCGGGTGGCAGTCCATCCCTCCGGCGCAACTGCCGCCGCCACAACAAAAAGTGGAAGAAGACGAGGAAGAAGACGAAGAAGGGCCGCCGCCCGGGTGGCAGTCCATCCCTCCCGCGCAACATCCGCCGGCGCAGCGGAAGGTGGAAGAAGAAGAAGAAGAAGAAGAAGAAGAAGGGCCTCCGCCTGGCTGGCAGTCCAACACTCCGGCGAAACCGCCGCAGCCAAAGGTGGAAGAAAAAGAAGAAGAAGAAGAAGAAGAAGGGCCTCCTCCTGGATGGCAATCGATTCCAGCTCAACCTCCGCCGCCGCAACATAAAGTCAAAGACGAATACGAAGACGAAGGGCCACCACCCGGATGGCAATCTATTGCTCCACCACAATCAGTGCCGCCGCCACCATCACTACCAGGGATTCCCTCAGGTGAATCTTCTTTACCACCAGAGACATATTTAATCTGTATCTGTTTTTACCACAAAGCATTTGCTTGAGTTGTTCAAGTCCCATTTGGGACCTAAATTTTAAATACCTAAAAATTGCCAAATCCTAAGATTTAAATTTTGCAAAAACAATGCACCCTTAATAAAAAAAATTAAAAAAAAAAAAAAAAAACCAGAGACATAGTAGTTGAATTGCTAAAACAAATCTTCAACTTTATGCAGTATCAAATTAGTCAGTGCTTTTGGCCAACAAGAGAAGAAACTAAAATTTGGAACTGTGTTTGACTCGATGGATTTCCTTTAAATTTACAACCTAATATCTCTTACAATTTTCATTCTTCTGCACATATGTTTTTCATTGGTCATTGTATTTTAATATATATATTTTATTTTTATTTGTTGATTACTTAGATGGCATTATCGAACTCTAAATGCATTCAAAACAATGATTTAGTATTTTAAGTGTCTTCTCACCCAGTGAGGCATGTAATTTCACTGCAGAAATGGCTCAAATGGTTTGTGGTTCTTGTCGCCAATTGCTTTCTTACCAGCGAGAAGCCAAACATGTTCAGTGCTCATGCTGTCAGACTGTCAATTTGGTACTACAAGGTTTCATTCATCCTTCTCTCTTTCCTTCTTTTTAATCTGAGACCTATTTCCCTGGTTGTTTAGCAGTCCAGATTCTAATTACTTTAGTTCTATAAACATTACAGAATGAATTTTCTTAAAAGATGTGTCTTAATTATATTGTTACAATGTTGATGAAAGATAGAGCCCTAGATAGATTAAATCACATATCTATATCTTGCCATATAAAGTTCTCTTGTTTTATGCAACGACACTTGTAAATCCACTCCAACTTGCTGCTTATCTGGCCTATGAACGAGCTTCGTGGTACCTGTTATTGTTATCACATATTTGCCGCATCAGGAATTCCATTCCATTTGGCCACCATAAATCCTTAGATTTCCAATTCTTATACTAGCACATAACTTACACTTAGTGCTCTGACAGGTATGATACATTCATGTGTCATCCATATGTATACATATTTTTTCTCATTGTTAATTCATGTCAAATATCAAGTTCAACAGTAATGAAGTCTTGACTTTTACATAAAATTTCAATTTTATATCTACATTCTTGCATAGATATGAATTCAATACTCATCTTCATTTCTTTCCCCTGTAATTTTACTACGGACCTATCTCATAGCCAACATGACACAAGATCCCACATATTATTCTTGCAAGAGAAAACAAAGGACCAAGAATATGGTGAATATCTTGCTGTACTTGATTCTGTAATATCTGATATATACTCGGTATCACCAAGCCACAAGACACGAGACCAGATTTTGAATTCAAAAGTGCAGGCAAGGCTTCATTTATAATGAAAATGATGGTAAATATTTGTCCTTACATACACAACACTAAAATGGAAATACCATCTGTCTCTTGGCCAGTTCAGTTGCTCTCTCCTTCTGCACTGCAAATAGCTTGTCTATTTTTAAGCAAAGGTTTTTTTCCACTAAATTTTCTAACCTTCCACTTTTGTAGCTCATCAAGTTGGACAAGTTAAGTGCGGAAGTTGTGCAGTGCTGCTAATGTACCCATATGGAGCACAATCAGTTAGGTGTTCCTCTTGCCGTTTTGTGACAGAAATTGGAGTATGTGAACTATTCCTTGCAAATATATATAGATATTGCCTATTTGCCTCTGTTAAATTTTTAGCCTTCATACATAGATTGCTGCTATTCAAATTCCTAGTCTAAAATAATTACCAAGGGACTGAGGATTTTGTAGATTAAGTTAAGAATACCTTTTTTTTTTTGTTCTTTTGAAAGTTTAAGCAAACACACACACCCACGATATATTTTTGCCCCCACCAAGACTTCACTCAATGTCCCCAAAGGGAGAGGAGAGCTTATACCATCTAGGCTATAGCATATTGGTTCATGTTAAGAATACTTGCATGCGACTGTCATGGCATTCCATCTTGATGCCCATTTTCTTCCAAATCAGTACCATGCCAGAACTTGATTGATAATAGTGTTGGCCTGTTGGGTTTTATCAATGAAGATGGACCAAAGAACTTGCCTAGCTCAGCTGTGTAATTTTGAAGTTTTCTTTGAACTGATCCAATTATATAGACCAAATAGATATTTCATGTTCCTATCAATTTGTGCATGCGATGTGTTTTATATTTCTAGACGCGCATACATTTTGGGTGTCTGCATATATAAGATAAAAAGTTTGGATTTGTGGATGCTTCTGAAATAAATGGTCTGAAGTATGATATCATCCAACAGTTTTACTGCAAAGTTGTCACAGATGATGTGCAAATTTAGTTAGATACTATACATAAAAATTGTTATGGAACATCTTGCACTTCACTTGTAGATTAATGATTATTATGAGAAAGTATAATGTATTTGGAATAATGATATTTAATGGCATGTTCTTGAACATGTATACCATAATACACATTTTGAGACCTTCAAAGATAAAATTATAATTGTTTATGTTTTATCTTCAATCTTTTTATTTCAAGATGTTCTCTATTCGATCAAATTAGTGACATTGACTGTGTTTCTTGTGAATTTTGTAGGTGCACAACAGGCGACCTCCTCTGTCTGCGCAACAGAGTCGTAGATTTCCTCGTGCCAACCCTGTTCACTAGACTTCTTATATTTAATATTTGTACAGGTTGAAACAAAATGATTGAATTTAATTTGACAGAGATTTGTTGTATCATCCTCGTATCTATCTTACTGGTTGTCATGATTACCCTGCTACGAACATTAAACCCTTTCTATGGAATGTATTTATGGATTTTATTATGTGATGAGAGTTGGGAAAAGGGTAGACCAGCTGCAAGTTTTACTTCTTACCTGATCATTCAAAAGTCAAGACTCCCTTCTCTCTTCAACCTCCTAAAAAGGGGCATATAATATACATGTGGCTTCCGTCTGTCACACTTGCATGAAAGGAGATGATGCAATAGAGTTCGTAGTATCTGTTTTTTGGTTGCGAGTATGATCAGGTGCTGTTGAAGTGGCTTGCTGATGTCTATAATTGTAATTTTATTTTTTTTCAGTGCATGTGCTTCAAACAAATGAAGAATACTGTTTTTTTTTTTTTTTTTTTTTTTTTTTTGGAATCAATTATTTTAGGATTTGGAAAAGGAATCAAAATTAGAGTAGGGATTGGAATTAATGAAATTCCATTTATTACATGTTTGGAACAAATTGGATTTAAAATAGGATTTGAAGGGCTTTTATTAATTTTGGACAAATAACACCCTTATAGTTTATTTTGGTATATAATTCCGTTAAGTTTGAAAAAATGAATAAATGACTTATATTGGGTATATAAGTCCGTTAAGTTTGAAAAAATGAGCAAAGAAGGGAATTAGAGAATTAGACCAAACAATACTACCCCCAGTATCCTGGGAGTGTCTATATGTCCAAATTTCGAACCTTACCACCTTTATTATTATCCTCAACTTATCCTGCTCTTACATTGTGGGGCCGGAGTGCGTAGCCGAGAGTTTACTTGGTAGCTACAAGTTTAAATGACGGATAGTTGCGAGAATTCCTACGTCATCAAAAAAATAAATTACTACTCTCTGTAAACATCTCTCCCACCTCTTTCAATTTTCATACTGAAATGCGTTATATTGACTGGTCTTGCTCAAATAAATGGCTCTACATCTATGACCGCCAAACAAGTACAGTAGTTTCTGAAGCCACAATTAAGAAAAGCATAATTAGTAACCATATGAGTAGCTGATTGCCATATAAGCACTTAGTAATTGCTTTCATATTAGACACAAGAACAGCTGTTTCATTTCAAAATGCTAACTTAAGCTGAAGTGAACAGATTATCAGATACATAAGTAGATATGGGATCATTCACAAAATGAATTCACATATGAAGCACTATGAATCAATCACGTATATTATACTTCACTCTAGAAGTAATAACGTATTTGCTTTTCACAATTTTATATCCACGTAGATACCGTGACACAAATGCTGAAAAGAGCCGCCAAGTACGTGGAGGCCCATGTGTGCGCAATTGAGAGTATCATCAGTTACTAATAACATCTTTGAATGCTAATTAGTCCTAATAATTAGAGAAGTCTAACATCAAATTTTCAAACAATCTGAAGCTGATAAAGCAGATTAGCCAATTTGTACAACTCTATTTCAAAGTATTCTTTTGAGATATCAAATCAAACACAGAAACCAACTGTAGATTAATATACCAATTTTGGGCCAAATTATACAAAATTAGTAAGTTAAGAGCAAATTATTATTATTATTATTTTTTTTAAGTTAAACCCGAAGTGTCAGGGTTTTTAAGTCCCCTCGACAACTCAACTAATTTTTGAGGATCTAGAAAAGTGCCCTAATCCGAGTTGGGTAAGTCACATGGAAGCTAGATATAAAGAACACTCGGGACTCGATCCCCGAACCTTGGTTTGCTAACCTCCAAAAACTTAATTTTCAAAAAATACATTAAAATAAATTATTAATAAACGCAATATTTGAATACATTTAGCTTTTACATAATCCGACATTGAAAGCTATATGTGAATACAGGCGTATATTGCATACATATAAATAAATCAAATCTGCCAGAATCACCTTGAAATCGTCTATTCATTCTTCTGCCGTCGGTTCTTTTGCGGTTTCTCTTTGATCTGGTGTAGCACCGACAAAATCCCTATGATCAATTTTAAACGAATTTAAATCACAAGATTCAAAGACGAGTCAAACTGCAGAAGAACCTCGGCTAGTAAACAGAAACATGAAGACGAGCTTGGAGAGATCTGGCATCAAAATCGTCTTCAATGATCCAGCAGACCTCTTAGGATCCACACGTGTGAGGAATATGGACCTTCTGATGCAGTACAGCAAGTGCAGAGGATCCACTCTCTGTGGACTGATCAGACCTTCACATTTTGCGCCTGAGAGATTAGGCTATTTCGCGCTCAATTTATTAAATTCAAATTACACTCAACTTGTTCGGAAATCAAAACAGCTTATATAAACGTAGTCCTGTATCATCCACTCTCACAACCTCTCCATATAAACCCTAGAATCCTCTCTATACACTTCATTCTCTCATTTCCTACGTTCTCTCTCTAACTCTGTTTCATCTCCATTTGCTTTCGCTATGGCTGAGAATGTGATGAATCGAGACCTGGCCGTGGAAGAAGACAGTGTGATGGCGTTCAATCAACATCAACCTCTGGCGGTGGATGATTCTGTGATTGAAGTCGATCAACAGAGTGCGATTGAGGAAGATCAAGTTGATGAAGTGGATCAAGCTGTAGTCAATGACGAGCATGGTAGCTCTCTACATCCATCCTTTCGTATTCAAAATTTTATTCAATATAATTGTAACTAATTTGATAATTACATAAATTTGAAGATGTTTAGAATCTGAAAACAATTAATCAAAATTAGTAAGTTAACAAACAAGATGTGTCGATCGACCTCAGCCAAAGTGCTAGATGTAGGACCATGCAATCTTCTATTTCTTTCTTGCCAAATAGACCATAAGCCAGCAATAAAGAGAGTGTGCATCAGTTTACTTGGCTGATGTAAAAACCAATTCAATAAACTATCCACTGTGGTTGCGTTTGAAAAAATCATCCTCCATCCTAGTGTATCATCCAACCACGTCCAAAAATTCCTTGAAAAGGTACAATCCACAAATACGTGATCTCTAGTATCTATAGCTTGAAAACAGAGTGAACATATTGGAGCCAAACTTACATTTCTCTTCTGCAAATTATACATAGATGGCAAGCTGTCTTGAAAAAGAAATACTCCATGGACAGACCAGTGAGGTCTCGCTTTTCCCCAACAAACTTTATACCAATCAACCTCTGAGTGTACGGCTCTACAGCCCTGCCAAGCAATCTTGAAACTAAAATTGCATCCATCCCAAGTTAATCTGTCCGGCCTATCAGTTATAGGCTGTGTTTGTAAAAAATCACAAATAGGTTTAAAAATGTCATCTTGCAGCAAATCAAAATTCCAATCTCCATTAACTGTAAGACAAGCCAATGGCGAATCCCAGGAAAACCCCAGCCTTCGAACCACTCTATGACCAAATTTCTGCAACATTGATTCACCCTCACACCAAGGATCAGTCAGTATTTTGAAGAGATGACCAGTACCAACAGAAAATTTAACCTTATTCTTCATTAAATCTCTAACACTAAGCAAGTTCTTCCACAAGATTGAATGAGTGACCTTAGGAACTGCATTCCAGAAAGAGGAACATGAAGTGTACCTGGAGTGAAACCAAGATACCCAAAGCCTGTCCTTGCTTAACAAGAAATCCCAAGCCAAAACGCATTGAGATGTAACCTGCAAATCCTTCAATTTTCTAATGCCCAGACCTCCTTCAGCTTTTGGTCTACACATCAAATCCCAGCTCATGAGATGCATCTTTTTAAAATTATCCTTGCTGCCCCAGACAAAGTCTCTACACATTCTTTGAATTTGATTAATGACAGCAATTGGTAATTGAAAAACACTGCTTCAGTGTAGGCAAATAGGAGTTAAAACAGTCTTGACCAATTCAACTTTACCTGCTACTGATAATAGTCTAGTACTCCAATCAGTGAGCTTTTTAGAAATTTTATCCAGAAGAACATTACAATGGGATCTCTTAAGTCCAGAGGAACATAAAGGAATTCCCAGGTATTTTAGAGGAAGCATTTCTTCTTTACATTGAAGTATATCCAAGACAGCTCTTTTCCTTCTAACAGATTTGGAGAAGATGACACTACTCTTACTATAATTAACTTGCAGTCCGGGGGCAGCTCCAAAAACCTGAAATATCTCCTGAATAGATCTAGCATTTGAAATTGAGGCTTTGCAAGTAATCAACAGATCATCTGCAAAAAAGGTGTGACAGGTTGTAGAGTGAGCCTTTAGAGCAGTATAGGATAATTGAATCTTCCCATTGCACACAGCTGTATTGAGTAGATGGGAGAATTGATCAGCTACCAAAGTAAAAAGAAGGGGAGAGAGAGGACAACCCTGTCTCAATCCTTTCGAAGGCTGTATGAAACCTGTAGGAGAACCATTCAGTAAAATTGAGTACCTTGTGGAGTGAAAAAAAGTTGAAATCCAAGATAACCAATTTGAACTGAAACCAGCAGCAGTCAAAATTTTCAGAAGGAAACTCCAGGAAACAGAATCAAAAGCTTTTGAAATATCTGCCTTCAAAGCCATAATGGGATGTTTAGATCTAAAATCACTCACCATCTCATGACCCATAATTATAGCATCCTGAATTTTTCTGCCTTTTATAAAAACATTTTGCTCCATGCTTACTAGATTAGGTAGAACCAAAGATAAACGAGCAGCAAGAATTTTAAAAATAATTTTATAAATCATTGAGCCACATAATTCTGAAAATTGCTTTTTAATAGATCATTATGTCAATTAACCTACATAATACGCTCATAATTTTATGTTTGCTTTTAATACAGATGTCCGTATTAATATTCCTGAGGTTGCAATTCCTGCACTCAATGGGCTAGCCGCACGAAACCCCAGGGTGAACCTTTTCATGGCTACACAGACAGTAATAGTTTCGGGGAATTTCTTTATTGCTATGATATCTTATCTGATAAATGACAAGGAAATTCAACATTTGACCACACCTGTGATTGTTTTTGGGTTCTTTATGGCTGCCCTTGCTGGCTCAATCGTACTTCTACCGTTGCTTGGTTGCATCATGGTCATATGGAGTAGAATGGGTTACACCCCATGGATACTGTCTCTCCTAGCTTTTGTTGTAAAGCAGGTCATTCAATTTCTGTTTGAAGAGGCGGAAATTTTCCATTTTCTTCTGGGATACTTTTCCCTCACTGTCATCGGAGTGAATTTCCTACTCTTCTACAGAGATGCATTTTATCTCCTAAAAATCCTTGGTGCCATCTTTGGAAGTGCTTCCACAAAGTGTTTTATGGATCTCCTGATGAAGAAAAAGACTTCTAAAGGTGAAGAGATGGACAAATCAGTCAGCATCGAAATTGCTTTATTGTATGGCTTCGCATCAGTGAGCTGCTGCTTGCTCGTTGTATGTCTTTCTCACTGTTAATTATTTAATGATCCTAATTGAGTTTGACCAAATGTGAAGGCTTGGGAATGCTGCCCTCCATAACGCTTGTGGATGACGCTTGATAGATGAGCCATTACAACGAATTTTCTAAATCGAGCTTTGCTATATCAGAGGCTCTTCTAATCCCAAAACCACATTCTCTTTAGGTCTAGTTACCTTAGACCATTTCACAAGACGTAATTTTCTAGCTTTATCTTTGCAACCCAAACAAAGCCCTTAAACAATCTTTCCACCACTGCAATAGTTTTAGCAGGCACCTTGAAGGAAGCACACCAATAATATAGGAATGAAGACAGTTCTTTGTCAATTCCCCCTTCCAGCCAAAGAAAGATTTAAGGCCCCACAACCATTTATTTTGTTAGAGATCTTATCTATCATCTCACTACCATCCCTATGTCTCAATCCATTATCCACCATAACCAGACCAAGGTAAGTAATAGGAAGCTGACCTTGTTTCATCTTTAGAATTCGGAGTAGACCAGTAGTCTTTTGGACAGATTTAGTTACAATGACTTGGCTCTTCTCATAACTAACTTTGAGCCCAGAATAATGATGAAATTGTTTCAGCAATGCAATTAGGAGATCTAAAGCTAGCATTTGCAATAATAATAAGATCATCTGCATCTGCATAAAATTAATTAGAGAATGTCAGGCCAGCCTTTACCACATATTCACAGCACTGCAATTACCATTTTCAACCTCCCATCATAGCAGACTCCTTAGAGAAATTTAGCTTTACAGTATTTTGTGTATAAGGCATGAATCTGTATGAATGGTGCTGGACTTGCCTGTTTTGTACACCTTTGGTATGCCTAGTCTTTGACTCTTTGCATGCTAAGAACCATGGTTGGTTGTGTATGATGTACTTTAATCCCTGTTGTTATGTTCTCTTGGAAGTGATCTGGTTGGTAGAACTTTATCGTCAAATGGTTCTCTCATATTTTTGTATGATTGTTTACACAAAACAATGCTCACTTTGTTCAACATCACTCTAATTACAGCAGTAAAAGCCCCTTTGTTACGATTATGTTATGAAGAAGTGTATTATGCACTGTTGTTACAAAATATTTTATGGTCTTCTCACCAGTGATTGTTGTCACCTCTCTGTCATCTCATTATTTTCTTGCTCTAGTAAATCAACCACTTTCTTGGACTGTTCTACTCATATTCTCTTCCTATTTGGGTTACAATCTTTTGTTTTGATATTAGTTTTTCTAGAGGTGATTTTTCAGCCTTTTAAGTTCTATAAACCTTGTATTATTGGTTATATGATAAACACAAAAAATTTCTGAAATATCTTGAGATAGTTCTGCTTAAATCAGGGGTTTGATTTTTTTTCATTGCCAACCACTGGGCTGAATTGTTGGAATGCTAAAGTGATATGCTTTCTGTTTATAATCTATTTCATTTTAACTCATTTTGGTATCTTATAGTACATGGTCATGTGAATGAACATTTGCATATATATGCTTCTTGATATGCAATGACGCATTTCTTGGTTTGTGATGGTGGGTTCGACGTGTGATCTACTTTTGACATCTGCCAAGCCCTATTTTTTTAATTAATTTATCTTACATCTTTCTTTTTAGTTTATTGACGGAGGAGGCCATCACCCTGCTCATAGTCTCTCTGAAGCAGTTCAGTACCTGAGGGAGACTATTACAGCAGGTTTTCGTTCTATTATGGGGGGTGATGCTCAGTCAACGGTGGAGGGTACTCAGTCTAATGTGGAGGATACCGGTTAGTATTCTAGTATTGTCCCGTGATTGCATATGATTCGTATAATGTATGTATTTTGTGGTAGAACTAAGGTTGTGTTTAGTAGTTTTAGTACTTGAAGGAGATTATTAGTGCAGGTATTCATTCTCTTGTGGAGGGTGGTGCTCAGTCAGTTGTGGAGAGTGGTCACTCAGCCATGAAGGGTGCTGGTAAGTATTATATACAACCCCAAAATTACATTCCATTACTTTTCAATGGCATTCGCTTATAGACATGGTAAATAATATCTGATTGCCTGGTATGATATTTATATATTCATTACTGATGGTGTAGTGTTAGTAGTTTTAGTACTTGAAGGAGATTATTAGTGCAGGTATTCATTCTCTTGTGGAGGGTGGTGCTCAGTCAGTTGTGGAGAGTGCTCAGTCAGCCATGAAGCGTGCTGGTAAGTATTATATACAATCCCAAAATTACATTCCGTTACTTTTCAATGGCATTAGCTTATAGACATGGTAAATAATATCTGATTGCCTGGTATGATATTTATATATTCATTACTAATGGTGAAGTGTTGCAAATTTTATGTAAACATGTTGAGTGCTTTTTCCTTCTTGAAAAGTTTAAAATTTCACCCGAAGAGAATAACAACTGTCACACATGTTGTATGCTGCTACTATTAAGTTTCAATAATGTTTTTTGTTTACAATAAAGTTCATGTTATCCAACACCTATAGTCCGCTCACAACGTTTGCATGATTGTTGCTAACATTTCTCTGCTTTAACACATGCATGTTTTATGACTAAAAAAGTTATTTAGATCAATGAACACAAGAATTATTTCAACTTAAAAGCTTAAGAGAAATAAATTGTTACAAAACTACTCCTATATAGAAAGATATCTATATATAAATTGACCTTGCTTGCTTTATTTTTAAATTTATTATTATTATTATTTTCCCCAACCCAAAAATTCAAAGCTTGTTGTGGTGAGTGTATTGATTAAAGAGATGATATATGCTAAAAGGACATATATTCTTTCGTTGCAGGGATAACTTGAAGTATGACAAATGCTGAGCTGCTGGGCTTATTGGCATTCTTCTGTACAGTGTCAATATAGTTACAAACTTGAAAGTTGTGTTCATTGAGGCTGTCCTTTCTAACTGTCAATGAGTAGGACTGAGACTTGTGTGGGGTTTTTTTTTTTAATCCTTCTATGCTTTTGGAGATTTACAGAAAACTTGAGTTTGTGTTTTTCTCTTTTGGCATAAATAGTATCACTAATGGGACAAATAGTGTGCAAAGGCATGTCTAGTTTCTACAATTACTCTTTGAAGATTTAATCAGGAGAAGGGTTACTTAGAAGCAATACATAATGTTCATTCTGATTTTCATCAATACATGATTTTGTACACCAATATATCATGTTCATTCTGCTGTGCTATATCAAAATTTGCTTTTGTTGTGTTGTAACTAGTGTTCATACAAATAATATGGTATATGAATCTGAGTTTTCTGGATTTTATTCCGGCATCCCTTCGCTGGTTTTGTTATGAGTTCTAGATAACATGAGTTTAAGATTGTTGGAACTTGGAGGTCATGGTACAAACATCCTCCTGACTTATGAATACCATATTTGGCTGTTTGTACACATAATAACTAATAATAGTAAAACTGATGATTGTGCTCCCAATGTTTACTCTGTGCGTGGCCTTTGATGCATTATTTTTTTACATGATCACGATGCATCCCTTCCCTTTGATGGTGCTTAATTTATAACCCCAACTACTGCATCGCCATACTTGCATCACATTATAATCGTAGCACAATTGTGATTATGTCCCTAATGCATGAGAGAAGAAAAATGAAGCCACTCTCAGAGACCTTCCTCTGTCATCCCAAAGAACAGCACCCTCTCCTACTTCCATCCAAAGCTTATCTAAATCAGCATCAACATTGCGTTTCAATTTACCCCTCGCAGGAAGAATCCAAGAAGTGGAAGGAGATGGACTAGCATAGTAGCGTTAGCATCAAAAAAGAGCCCTCAATGCCCTGTTAGCAACATTAAACCCATCTCTGTGGAGTGTATTTATGGATTATATGTGATGAGAGTTTCCTAAACTAATTATATGACCTCCCCAGCACGATATTGCTGACCTTCATGTGCATTTTCTGTTTCTACATGCCAGCATCCATGTTAATTTTCATCTGCTGAGTTTGTGCAAGAATAAAATGGATTCGAACATCTATCTATATATATATAAGCATTTTTTTTAATTGCCTATTACTTAAATCAAGGGAAGCGACAACCTAGAGTGGAATTTTTATTTTTATTTTTATAAATATGAACAATAAGGTACAGAGAAAACTAAGGGCATACCCTTGAGAAACCATACAGCAGCAAGACCTCAAACTAAACCATGAAAATCCAAAAGCCAAAGCAACAACACAACAAAACAAAAGACATCAACTACAAACATCACTGCAGACACCAGACCATACAGAGCAACCACACCTAACCAGCAGCACAGCAAAATCAACACAGCAAGCCAAAACTGCAGGCAGAAACTGATAACCAGCAAACAGAACTGAAGTAACAAGGCCCAAGCAATAACCACGAGAAGCAACACAACCAGCAACAAACACATCAAAACAACACACCCTATTGCACCTGCAACCACAACCACATCTGCAGCTATCCATAAGACAGCAATCACCACAAAGCCACAACCATCAAACAAGCAAAACAAACTGTGACACACCAGAAAACAATCCAACAGTATTCTCAACCAACAGCATAAGATTTGAATTATTAAGACTTGCATTGTATCATTTTTTCTGAATACCAACTACAGCAAGGCAAACACTCGAAGGAATTTAGTTAAGTTTACAGAGGACCAATTATCTGCTTCATGACATTCAAAGACGAAGATCATCCATCATTCTATATTTCTACCTCCTGATATTGTGAAAATTGGACTGCTAAGGGGTTAGGCTTTGCCATCCAAGGTTGACCTGATTTATAGTTGGCAACCTCGTTTTAACATACGTTCTATGCAATTTTGATTGTATTGGTAACCATTAACCATTCCAATGGTGAAGGATGCACTATAAGACAAGATATAAGGTAAAGGTACTATATTGATGATTTATGAACTCAAATTAAAAATCCTGCTGGAGAGTGGAAAAGGAGAGAAACCAGAAAATTGAGTTTCGAAGTTCCTCAGGGACAGAATATCAGTGGCTAAAATGCTTTAAAAAATTTAATGCAAGTGTTATAGATGTATGCTTGCAGCATTGGCCTTTGGAAGCAACTTTCAATCATCCGGTGGGAAGTCCTCATCCGAGGCATTGTCCAGGAATGATCCAAGAGTCTTTCTCAAAATGCTGAAAGTTTTGTCATCCTGTTTCCAAAATCAAAATAGCATACAGGGATTAATGTGTGAGGGGGAAAGAGAGAGAGACACATTCTCATGCTCATCAATTCGAAGTACCTGCTTCTTTTTCTTCAAGGACTCTTCCAATTCAGCAATTCTATTAGCACAGACTTTCTCATGTTCAGAAATCATGCTCTTTTCTTTCTTCCCTGAAATAAAGTCATTACAGCCTCAGTGACTTGTATTTCAAATTTTCAGTATAAGGGATGAAGTAAATCTTCTTGCTTACTCTGTTGTTCATATCTAATGAACAGCCTCTCTTTCTCTTCTTCGAATTTGGAAATAGCATCTAACAAAAACAAGAGATATTTAGGCCAAAATGCAAGTTAAAAGCAACAATTACAGTCCAAAATTCTTCATCAATAATTCTGGCGAACCAAAAACAATCTGATATCATGTTATCATCTTCTGCAGCTTAGCTATCCTTATCAATTTAAGGTGGATGACTATTCTGTTTGTTAGAATTAGGCTCATCAAGAATTACATCAAGTGTTGCATTTTCAAGCATTAGTCTACAACCCTTGGTAATTTTTTATTTAATTTATCACTAGTAGTACTTGACATTTATTACTTACTATTATTTTGGAATATCATGTCAGAAAGTAATTTTTCATGGATGTCAGTATTGATAGTTATTATACCAGTGTGGGAAGAAATGCTACTGTTACTTACTGAAAAAAATAAATGCAATTGTATTAATGGTATTCTTTACCCAAAACCTAAAATGAACAAGGAATATACCTTTTAAGGCCTGCAGATGGGCTTCTTTCTCCTTGCTAAATTTCTCATGAACTGTTTGGAACTTGGCAGCCTCATTCTTCAACAAGTTTTCACACTGCAGGTATGCAATCACATACATATAAACTGACAGATCAATGCAATAAAGTTAAAAGTGATCCATTATAGTCCCTTTATTCTCTGCAGACCTCTTTTGAGCTCTTTGAAAGTGCCTTTGCAAAACTTTGCCTGACAAGTAAAAAAATGATGTTCATAACAGAGAAACATCATAGAACAAACACCTACAAGAATGCTTAATTTGGGCTGCATGTGATAGGGGGATTCATTCTCACCTTTCTTTCTCAAGTTTTATCTTCAGCTCATCAAGCTTAGTCTTGATGTCAGAAGCCACACTGCCAGCAAGCACAGTTAACAATAAGTGGATTGATTAAGAAAAGCATAATTAATAAACAGTGGCCAACAAAGTAAGCTGATTGCTGATTGTGCCATATGGCATATACTATAAGCACTTGGTAATTGGCTTCGTATTACACATAAGAGCAGCTGTTTCATTACAAAATGTTATCTTAAGCTGAAATGGTTCGATTAGCCAATCACTTCAATATAATTGTAATTACTTTGGTAATTCATAAATTTGAGTATATTCAGAATTTGAGATAAAACACAGATAACTGCTTAGATATGCGATCTTTCACATAACGAATTCACATATGAATCTATGAACTGATTGTGTAAATTACACCTTCACTTGAGTAGTAGATACCTTAAACGCAAAATGCTGAAAAGAAGCCATGTACATGGAGGCATGTTTGTGCATATCGAGTGTATCATCAGTTACTAATAGATACAATTGACATCTCTGAATGATAATCACTACTAATAAACCAAAGTCTAACAACTAAATTTCAAACAATCTGAAGCTGATCAAGCAGATTAGCTGTACAACTCTATTTCAAATTATTCTTTTGCGATTAATTTGAATATCAAATCAATTTGAACATATCAGAACAGATACCAGTTAGAGATGAATATACAAATTTAAGGCGAAATCCTACAAAATTGGCAAGTTATTTATGAACAAATCAAAAACTTGTCCAGTTTTTACATTATCTGCGCGTTTTCAACATATACATGCACATAAATTGTTTAAGATACGCGATATTTGATGTGCAAATTCTCAACAAAAGCATTTATGATAATAAAAAATAAAAAATAAAATTTAATCAGAAAATCCTCAACAAAAACTATCAAAGATATCCAAAAACCGTTCACTTACAACAACAAATACTTCTAGCTTTTACATTATCCAACAATGAAACATATACATGAATACACGCGCATACACACATGTAAATAAGGAATTATATCATTTAAGATCTGATCGAATCTGTGAGACTCACCTTGAAATCGTCTCTTCATTCTTCTTCTGACCGTCCTTTTGCGCTTTTTCTCTGATCTGGTGTAGCGCGGACATAATCCCTTTGATATCACTGAAATTTCATCAATTTTAAAAGAATTTAAATAACAGAAATTCAAATCCACATCAAACTACAGAAGAACATGTACTAACAAACAGAGATACGAAGACGGACTTGGAGAGATCTGCATCAAAATCGTCTTCAATTACGACTCGCTTTAGCTTCTGAGATTTTAGAGTCTCCGATTCAGAACTTCGTTTCTTTGCGCTTGATTTCACTGTCGACATTTTGAATTACGGAAATGATGTATCTGAAATTTCAGAGTGAGCTTTTTGCAGACGAAACTCGAAATTTGAGAGAGAGAGAGAGGAGGGAAGGAGTTCTTGCGCGCTCAAATAGGTATCTGATTCTGAATTTAAATTTTTTGGAATTCTTTATTGGTTTAAAAGAAAACTCAGCGAGTTGAGCATATAACTGAGTCCAACGAGTTGACACGTAACTTTTTGTGCGCAAGATACATGTCCTTTGAGTGACTCAGACTAATTTACCAAATTTTTTTTTTTTTTTTTTTTGTCATAGGCTAATTTACATTGAACATGTAAAATTGATACTTTGAAATTGGAATAAGATGGATATCATCAATTCTATACAATTAAAAATAACATTATAAATTGCAATGAGACAAATGGGTCCATGTTTGGTAGAGCCCATTTTAATTTATCCTCATCTAAATGGGCTGGCTTCGCCTCTTCAACCCATTTTACCAACAAAAGTTCATAGTTTTAAACACTTTGTACAAGTGAGGGAAAAACATTTTTTAAAACTTGGGATAATAAATTGCAATGAGACAAATGGGTCCATGTTCGGTAGAGCCCATTTTTATTTTTTCTCATCTAAATGGGCTGGCTTCACCTCTTCAACCCATTTTACCTACAAAAAATCATAGTTTTAAACACTTTGCACAAGTGAGGGAAAAACATTTTTTTTAAAAAAAAATGTTTTTAACTTTTCATTATATTTTGAAACCGTAAATAGTAGGAGTAAGTAAAAATAAAATGCTTGATTATTTTTCCGAGGAAGAATTAAGAGCAAAATAAAATTTCAAATTAACAAATGGTAAAAGCAAGACAAAACCGATAACTATTTCTTCTATTTTCTGAAGAATCGTCAAAGCACTATTTAAAGTATTATTATTATTATTATTTAAGTGGTGATAGAGAGTTGGTTTGGAGTCTATCTGCCCACAGGACTTGTGTAGGGTGTCGAATTTGGACTCTCCAACATTTCCCCTTTTTTATAATATTTTTTCCTCGCAATTTCTTCAATCCAAACAAAGTGTTAACCCCTGTGGTCCTCGTCGGACCTGCTAAAGTTCCTTTCTCTTTCAATTACACACATCACGTTGACTTCAAATGTCTAGATCCCCTCCTTGGAAGGTAACGTGTAATTCAACATAGTGGGACCTAATTTGTTTTTGCCTCCACCAGGTAAGTACTACCAGTCTACCCCTATTGTGTTGTGTATAGTATCACTACCCCTATTGTGTTGTGTATAGTATCTCTCTCTCTCTCTCTCTCTCACACACACACCCACTTTTAATTATATCTATGACGTTAAATTCCACAGCAATGAGTTAATTAGTTATTTTTTTCTACTTTAAGAAATTTATCCATTTCTTTTATTATCAGTAAATATAATTAAAATGAAATGGCGAAACTAGGCCCTTTATTAAAGAAAGTAGAAAGAAAGAAAGAAATAATTTGACTACTCCTTTGCCTGTTTATTTTTTACCATTTAAGAAATGTTACGAGAAAACATGACAACGATTGCTAAAGTTACGTGGGGCTGGTGTTCTTCCTCGATAATTTTTATATTTTAATCTTGTATTAATAAAAAAATTTAAACAGCCCCACACTTGCCCTCGCCTAATTCTTTTCATATTTTCATTTTGTATGTATTAAAATTAAAAAACTACTTGTTGTTTATGATTTCTAAAATTTTAATCAGCCCATCTTTTCAGTAACATTCATTTATCATGTTCTTTTCTTCTTCTTCTTTTTTTTTTTTTTTTTTTCCTAAAGAATTTTCTGAAAATTTATGGGAACTCCTCCACGTGAGAATGGAGATGGCAGAAAATAAAATTTAATGAAATCTTAACTCATCTATCAAATCATTCTAGTAATTGAGGGAAAGGAGGAACAACTGAGTTGTAAATTCTTTCATTGTTGTTTTCTTTAATGAAGGGTGTAATTTTGTCATTTTTAATTTAATTATATTTAATGGTAATAAAAAAAATGGCAAGTTTATTCAAATAGGGAAAAGAATGGCTGATTAACTTATTGTCGTAAGATTTGATCCGAAGACTATAATAAAAAGTGAGCATACTTTTTTCCTACTCATACTACTATATATATATATACACACACATATACTTGTGCACGAAGAAATTATTGGAAATTTTTTTGAAAGCAATTTTTAAAAAATTCAAACTCTAAACTCCAAAATGTAGAGTGAGATTCTGTCTTTGGACTCAATTATGTTTTCGGCTACTACTACCATAATCGCTCTTGTATGGAACATTAAAGTGACAAAATTCACACGCCCTTAATAGTACTTATATTGTGTTGTGCAAAGATAAGATATATGGGGTATGATGTGAAAAAATATCATGATTGCGGAAAGCCATTTTGAATTTTACGTGAGCGTAGGTATGTTTTATTACTATGCATTCACGTTCACCTATTACACATCATAGTCTCTGTTTTATAAAAATAATATTAAAAATAAATTATAGGACATTTCAACCATCTAGCATACAAAAAAGTATACAATGCATCCAGAGTGTTTAAATGTAGTATTACCTGTTAATGAAAAGTCGTAAAAATTCTCCATTTTCTTTGATTTATTAAAAAATTATTTTTTTAAAAAAATAAATAATAAGTTTTTATTTGTCCAAAGTGTGACATAGGAACTAGGAAGTTTGTATATTATATAATATATAATGTGTGTATGTACGTATAGTTGGAAAACGATAGGTGGATGCCTTTTCTTCCCAAGTTGGGGGCAAGTGACCGAGTCTTCCCAATTGTGACAAAAGACCTCAACCGCATCACGTGCTTGACCCATAAGAGACAATTTGCCACCCATAGGTTTCTAGACCAAGTTACACTCTATAAGTCTATATATCTAAAGTGTACGTATACACCGTCAAAATATGACTTGCGTCTTCGCAAATCTCTATCACGAGGGTAATTCCAACTAAAATCCGACGGTGGATAACGATAGGTGGATGCCTTTTCTCCATGATTCAATGAACAGTACAAAAAATCACAAATCCAACGGTGGTGGATAAGAACACGGTGGATGTCTTTTTCTCAATGTCCAATCAATACTGCGACATCAAATCACTGCAAATCCACTACTTTTCTTCCATCTTTACTTGAGAATACCGAGTATTATTAATTCTTTTTTTTTTGCATCCCATACAAAAAAAAAAAAAAAAAACATTTGGATGGAAAGTAAGCCACAAAAAAGATAATCAAAATGAACATGAAATAAAATTATTAAAAATAGTTCAATATCAAGGCCGCATGTGTGATTTACTTAACAAAAGAAAAAGAAAAAAAAAAAAAAAACTAATCTTTATATCACACTACAATGTTTTTAGACACCAAGTTGACTGTACAAATATTTTATTTAAATTGCATTTTTAATTAATATGAGGAAGATGAACATAAATGATAGTATTATTGAATAAAAAAATAAGACAGGAAATGAAAATTTTAATTTGTCATATAGTAATTGAGAAAGAAAAAGGTAGTGATAAACCTTTATTGTAAACGGAATGGAGCGAATAATTTAATTCGGGGTGGAGGAGCACATTATTACATATATAATTTAGTGAACTTCATGTATAAAAACTAAAAAATTCTAATGCGCCAAGGGGCACCTGTTTCCTTTAGACCCATGCTGACTTCATCTGTGACCTATGTGAAAAAGATAATGTAAAATAAGAAAAGAAAAGAAGAATTTATTCTTCAAATTGGAAAAGAATATGATAAATCATTTGAAGGAAAATAAAATAAAATAGGTAAAAACAAATAATCCTTACCACTTTATCATTCAAATCCTTCAACTTTTAGAATATAACCAAATTGTGATTTTAAAGTGTAACAAACCTTTCCCATCAAATCATACCCCAATTAGTGTTATTTATTTATTTATTTTTGTATGGATTCTAAACCTCTCCTAAGTTGTGACTTGTGACTACACAGTACATGCATGCATATTGATTGCGCAAGTTCATTAGAGGAGTCATTATAGGGGAAAAAAACAAAATCAAATTAGAGCATTTTTTTTCTCCCAGGTTACAAAAAAACACAGACCAGAAACCAAAAATTAGCCTTAATGGCTTGGATCAATCCAGGAAGCCAAACATTCCATTGAAAATCACTGCACTTAGACCTGAGAGTTCATTTGCCAATGAAGTTTGCAACTCTGTTGCAAATTTTAGGAGACCAAAGGAGTTTTCAATAGTGTATAAGATGAATCATACAAGCAATATCCTCTACAATAACAAAGGAAAATCCATCTACCGAATGGAGTGGCATAATGCTCTGGTTATCGCCTTCAATATCAACACTTGTGTGGCCCCACGAAGATAGAAGTTTAAGATTTTTCTTTAAAGTGATGAGAGTTTCTACCACTATTGGCGATATATTGAAGTTATATCGACTTGTGACTACACAGTACATCTCTATTATTATTTTTTGGTATGAGAAAGAATATAAAACCCTATAGGTTTGATGGATTTTTCTTCAGTAATGAAAGTGATTGAGAGAGTTGTTTGGCACTAGAACATTTTAAACATATTTCTAGAACTTTGTTTGTTTGGAAATGACTTTTGGAATCAAAATAAAAGTAGTTAGTTCTCTTCTCTTGCTTGGTGAAAAAAAAGAAAAAGAAAGATTTTATATCATGAGCATGGTATGCACCAGTAACACCCAACACTTGATTGAAATCGAATAAAACGTTTTAATCGACGTCTGCTAGATTCTTTAATCGATATGGACCCCATCAAACAATCTTTAGATCATTTGTTGGTCACGACATTGCCCCATGTGATGTGCCATGGACTCATCCTATACGTCATAGTAATAATAATACACAAGGTTGGCATGAATTCAAAAGGAAGGGAGCAAAACATGTTCGCATGTTCAGTACTTCTTAACTTTCATAAGTGATAAGTAGGGTTGGGTGCAAAAAAATCCATCTAGTATTATATAGTGCAAAAAAGGTTTCTGTGATATAATTTTTTTTTTTTATATTATTAATTTGGTATAATTATTATACTGTTTGCATAAAAAGAAATTAATATTCTCTTGTCAATAAAATAAAATAATATTAAAAAAATTAAGCAATGTAAAATTACCATTTTAAATAATTTATTCTTTTTTTTTTTTTTTTTCAACAGCGACCCATTGCTCCTTTCACTGGCTAACCAAAAGTATTGCCTTTCTTGTTAAATTGCACCAATTATTTCCTCTTAATTATTTAATCAAATTCCAAACACGAAATAAAGCTCTAATTTTTGCACCAGCAACACAAAATTGACCCCCAAAATCTGAACTTTAGTTACTAGATCCCCAAACACAAACTAAAGCTCTACTCTTTATATTTGGTTGATTGATTTGTAGGTCGTGGTGGTGATTTAGAGGCGGCCGAGGTGATGGAGTGTGATACCCCTCGGATCCGAGACACGGGTTGATCAGGCCCAGGTCCAAACCCGAGGGAATATCAAACAATTAATATTTTATAATGAATACGGAATACAAAATAAATTAAGAAATGAAATTAAAGCTGGAAGGAACTAAAAATAGAATCCGCAAAATATTATAATTATTAAAATCCATCAAACCCAAACTCCAAAACTCCATCAGTTTACAACTTGGGAATTCATCTCTGGTGGACCCCTATTAAACATCCAAACGGAAGATAGAACAACTGTAATAAACGTCCAGAAATAAAACTATAGAGAGAGCCCTACATCGTCGGAAGAGTGAATAGAGACCTCTGTTCAGCACGAATACGTCTAAGCCTGGAACTGTCGTGTACCTGAAAAATAGAAGTGGGTCAGGCCCACGCGCAAGTTCTATACTACTACAATCCAAACAGAGGCCCGATACGCATGTACATCCTAAACAATTCAACAATAGCTAATAGTCCGTAAATATATATATAGTCACACTAAAGGACTCTCACTGGACTACAGGCCGGTCTCAACCTGAATAGAGGTAACATGCTAAAATGCACACGAAGTGGGCATATGTACCTATACCTAAACAGGGTACACCTCCAACCATCGTAGCCAGCTACACATCCCGATGCATATACGCTCCCTAGCCATCGGTCCTGAAGCTCAAGCTCATACCGAGGCACCATAACAGTACATATATAAAATCCATCCAAAATCCCTGGTATTGCCGCTCAACAAGTAGTTGCCATGACAATAAAAATCCACGGGACTTAACTTTTAGTTAATCCCATTCTTATTCCAAGTAGGTGGGTAATGGTATTGATTTAAAAACCAAACCCATCCTTAGTATACCACCGTCCCATACCGGTGCCTACTTTCCAATCCTCCAGTAGTCAATAATACCAATAACTCAAGTATATATCAACTAAATTCCAACATCCAACATTCAATGTTAGCAGTGATAAAATAAGCATTGATAAACAGGGTCACAACAACAACATATACATGCCCAATTTAAGTTGTTCCCTTTAGTATGATATAAAGACAGAATTAATTAAAACTTCCATTTAACACCTTACAAATGACATACAGATATGTAGGGTATGTATCACAAAATCCAAACCTCCGCAGTTGATACTAACTGTGATAATGTAAGCATCAAAACAATATTCACAGTATATATGTAGACATGCTCAAATTATAGTATTCCACAAAACCGATCTAGTGTTAAACTCAAATCCTCCTAGTATTTAAGTTCCAACAGTTGCTATTACAAAAGTTAAGATAGTTATCATCTAGACCCATCCTTCCAATAATTTATACTAGCAGTGGTAAGGAAAAACGTGAACCACAAAACCACAATGCATCCACAAACATGCTTAGTCTAGGTTGAACAAGCATACAACACTACTGCAACTACTAGTTTCATAGCAAAACAGATATCATTTTAATTTGGTTTAATCTTCATTAATCCTGGAATCATTTAAGAGTGCAAAGAGTATGAAGCCTAAGGGAAAGAGTAAGGATAGAATCTTGCCTCAGAAACTTTTGTTCAAAGTTTCAACGTCTTCTTCTTAAAAAAATCCCGGCGAGTTCCAAAACCCGGTTACTGTTCACGGGTACGAAACACTATTCCCGAACTCAAAATCTGATCTTCACCGTTTAGGTTGTGCGACACTGAGTCATGAACCTATCCTCCAAATTTCAGCTCGATTGGACCACGGACGAAGCGAGATCGGATGTTTGATGAAATCTGGGCAGAATGGAAAAAAACCTGTGCGACCTAGTTACTGTTCACGAGTACTAATCACTGTTCGCGAGGTCAAACTCTGATCTCCACCGTTCAGATTGTGCGTCACTGAGTTGTGAACCTCTCCTCCAAAATTTAACTTGATCGGACCACGGACGAAGCGAGATCGGATGTTTGATGAAATCTGGGCAGAATGGAAAAACCTGTGCGACCCAGTTACTGTTCATGAGTACGAATCATTGTTCCCGAGGTCAAACTCTAATCTCCACTATTCAGATTGTGCGTCACTGAGTCATGAACCTCTCCTCCAAAATTCAGCTCGATCGGACCACGGATGAAGCAGGTCGGAGTTTTGATCAAACCTTGGCAGAATGTGAAAAACTGCGTTTTTCCTTCTCCACTTCCACAAAACGTGTGCTTTGTTTAAAAAAACCCTACACAGACATCTACCTTATATTTATAGAGTTTTCCTAAACCCTAGGTTCATTTAAGTCCAACTCACAATCCTAACCGGCCCATCTAATTAACGTAGAAACCTACGACGGCTATAATATAAAACCCTAATTTATACTGTAATTAAAACTCTAGTTAGATGTATTTACCTAATTACCCTATTCACCATTAAATACTTAACAAATAATCTAATTGAACAAAATAATAATTAGTAAACCCAATTAAACCAAATAAGAGACACATAAAATAAGACACACATAGAATAATTAAACCAATTACACTTAAACCATTAATGCCAATTAAATAATTAAAACACTAACAAGTAATTCCAATCAAATAACTAAAAATAAATATCATTTAAATAAATTAAATCACCACAAAAGAAAACAATTAAGCACCTAATAAAAAAAAGAATGACACATAATCAAATAAAATGTACTTAAATAATAAATTAAATACCATTAAATACCAGGAATATCCTTTTTAAAATTAGGGGTATTACATGGAGGGAGAGGAATAAAGGGCTTTGGTTAAGCCCATAGCTGTCGCAGAGGCCCTCGTCACCGTCGGACTGTACTTGGCCAACCCCACTGGCATCTTCCTCATAGACGACGAAACTACTCCCGTCTGCCCACTTTATAAGGTTCATCGTCCCCGTCTCATCACCTTATAAGGTTCATCGTCCCCGTCTCATCGTCGTAGAATGAGATCTCAACCTTTCACCGTTAACCAAACTCTAGTGGCAAGCTCTCATCCTTACCGGACGGCAAACACCAACAGATCCAGACCCTTCTCATCAGTTGTCATCACCGGTGACACATTAATGGCGTCCCGAGCTCGTTGTCCTTCACCGTCGCCAATAGCCACCAACAGCGGGTTTGCAATGTGGCTTTGTTTGATGACACACTGAGAAAAGGGCAAATTAGGGTTTTTACATTTACTTTATGTTAATTTTGATCAAAAAGTAATCACAGAGATTTATTTGCACATTTTTGTTTTTAAATTTTATGGACTGAAATACACATTTCAAAAAAAGAGGGACTATTTGTGCACAAAACCTATATTAAAAAGGGGGTTTTTTGCACTTAACCAGTGATAAATATGACTTCCAATTGAAATAAAAACAAGTTTTTAATTAATATTTTAAACGATAAATTACGACCATTCTCTTAAATTACATAAAGATAGATCAAATCGTTCAACATATATTAGAGATTTGACGCTCTCAACGACATTTTTGATTTTTTTACCTATTTATCATATATTATTTCGTATGAAATAATATTTTTTTCATTTCTTACCCCAATTTAATGTTCATTTTTCACTTCTCCCTCGCAATTTAATGTTCATCTTCACTTTTCCTTCATTGAATAATTCACACAAATACATATCAAATTCAAAATACATACCTCAAATTTTATTGGAAACGTAGAGCATTGCTCATTACATAATAGTAGATCGTTTGGAATTTATTGTTTTGACTATTCATGAGATTTGAGCTAGAACTTTCTACCTATTGACCAAATATTATAAAATAACAAATTTGCCATTTCTTATATGAAAATAGAAGTTTACTAATTTTACATATTCAAAAGCATATTTTCACAATCAACTAACAAGTTTAGAAGAAGTCACACTGTAATTTGCTCGATCTGCAGGGGTGATAGGTACAATTTACCCTATTTAAAATTTAATTAATTAACATAAATATTATTTTGCTTAGTTAATTAATTACCCGTCCGCACGAGTGACCCAACAACGTAAGCAATTTTGGATTTGGCGCTTCCTAATCTGTGACACCTTCCTTTCCTCGGTTTCACCTATAAAACCACCCCCTACAATCCTCGCAGCCACCATTCCTCCACCACCACCACCACCACCAAACGTACACCAAAGCTCCGGAGATTAACAGAGTCAATCTCTATCTTTCGCTACTTGGGTATGTGTTCTTTCTCTCGCTTGATATGCACAACTCTTCATATTCAACTTTTTTCAATTCTTTATCGAAAATTTTGATTTTGTTTTGGTATGTGAAGCCTTAATTTTGTATATATCTGTGGTTAATTAGTAAATTGATCTGACGTTTGATATTGCATTGGAAGTGGATCCGAAAATCTAATTGTTTAATTTTGCAAAGATTAAAGTCTCTTTCTCTGTATCTACCATGTTTGTGAGACTAAGAAAGCTTCATTATTTGATGATTTTATCTCAGCTAACATTTCATTATAGATTTAAACTCTTTCTGTGTTTCTTTAATTTACAGAGGACCTTTGTGGCGTTGCATGCTTTAAATCTTCCCTAAAGTTTCATTTCTCCTTAACTTCGTTTACCATCTTTCTTTTGTTTGGTTTCCAGGAAAATTGAATTGAGTCTCTCAGACAAAAGAAAATTAGTTTACAATAAAATTGCTTATAGAAAAAATAACAAATTATATGTTTTCGCTTTTAATTCTATCTGTATATTGCCTGGAAAGTTTTAATATTTTTTAATGATAAATAAAATTAATAAATAGTGGAACATGGACTTCATAAAGTTAATAAATAGCGGAACATGGAGTGTTCATGGACCAACCACGGGTTGATATAATGTAAAAGAGTCCCATATTATTTTCGTAACATAAATTATATGGAGAAAATGGGAAGCTACACAGATAGTCTTAAAAAAAAAAGGTGATAAGGACTTATTATTTCCCCTTTTAAGACCATCTTTGATGTAATCCGGATCCCCTCCCGTGGAGCTTCATCCTTTGCTGCTGCCATTATATTACTTCTGCAACAATTTCATACAAAACGACAACGTTTTTATGAATATGTTGCACTAGCAATTCAAATGCAGCACGGGAGGGGATCTAGGTTCATCTTTCGTGTCCGTGTGAATAAATTGTTGCCAAACTTTACCTGTTCATCCTAACGTTCTTTCTTTCATCCTTGCAATCAGAGATTGTATTAGTGACTAACTATATATAGGATTGTAACCTCTGAAATCAGAAGTACAAGACTGCGCACGGAGGAAAAGCAAAAGAGCAGTGAGAAGCTTGAATAATCATTTTCTAAATTAAGAAGAAGAAAAAAACAACAAGAAGGATGCGTGTTTAATGGTCTAGATATGGTTGTTGTAAACTTGTATCTCATTCAATGAGAAGCATAGACTTGAATTCTGATTGATCTATTTAAATTTCTAGAAGATAATAAATTTCCTCCCCTGTGATGTCCCACCTTATTAAATTTTTAGTTGGGTAGGTTGTTGAACTTTGCTTGGAAGCTTCAGATTACTTATATATGTTGGTTATTTTCTGATTTCGTTTCATGCTTAACCCAGTTGTAATCTAAATGAAGCAATAGTTTTTGCTTATTATTAAAGTGATGCACTAATGAAATATTATTACGTTACTCATTCCGTATTTTGTTGGCAGAGTTTGGTTTTTTTGGGGTGATAGTTTGTTGGTTAACAGTACTTTATGGAAAATTGATTTTTTAATCGAATAAAAATTGCAAAAACATTGTTTGAACCTGGACCCATATACATATATTATTAGTACTTGTCATTATTTATCTAACAAAATATCTGTTTCCATTCAATTATTTTGCTTCCAGTATTCATTAGATACGTTAGGCAAATTATCTGGTGGTGCTTTTGGCCACAAATCAAGCAAAATAAATTATATAACGTTATGTGCTTTTTGATTCCTCTGATTTCCAAAATCTAAACACATAAAATTTTTATATTCGGACAATTGGTAGTGCATGTTTGTGAATATTCCAGTTTCTTTTAGGATGTTCTGGTGCTCAGATGAACTACAAGTCTAATTTCATACAAATAATTGAGGTTGTCTCACTGTCTTACATTATGTAGTTATGGAATCAATTCTCAAGCACTCACCTTCCTACTCATTTATTGTCTTACAGAATTAGAGGAGTGTAGCTACATTAAACTGTGAGGACAGAAGGGCATGGCTCTTGACCATTACTTAGCTAAGGAATGGAAGTCCATATCAGCTGCAGCCTCAGACTTGGACAATTGTCCTGGCTGCTTCGATTGCAACATATGCTTGGACTTTGCACATGACCCTGTGGTTACCCTATGTGGCCACCTCTACTGTTGGCCTTGCATCTACAAATGGTTCTACTTCCAGAGTGATTCCCTTGCTTCAGAAGGGCACCCACAGTGCCCGGTTTGCAAAGCTGAAATATCCCACAATACGGTTGTCCCCCTCTATGGCCGTGGCCAAACCCCGCCTGAAGCTGAACTCGACGCCAAGGCATCCCCTGTGGAGGTGGCTATACCCCCAAGGCCACCTGCTTGTGGTACCAAAATTCTGACCTCTATGTCTCAAGATAGTCAGCAGCTTGAATATCATAATCCTTATCAGAATCAACAATACTCCGCTCATCCTGACAGCAGTTACGAAGAAGATTCTGCACCATCACTATATAATCTTGGGATGTATGGAGAAATGGTTTATGCGAGGGTGTTTGGGAACTCGCAGAGCTTGTATACATACCCGAATTCCTATCACTTGGAGGGGAGTAGAAGCCCAAGGTTGAGAAGGCAGGAGATGCAGGTTGACAGGTCTCTAAACAGAATTTCAATTTTCCTCCTTTGTTGCTTTCTTCTGTGCCTTCTCCTTTTTTAATTACCGATTATGTCTTTCTCCCTCCTTTTTGTAGACTGTAAAATATTATGAACAATGCACGGATAGATGATGTTAGATTTATTATAAATGAGATCATGATATTATAAATTTTGCGCATGTTTCTTAACAAATGCAACTATATTTTGATGAGAGGATTGTCTACGAAAACACCATATCCAACAACTGTGTGGTTAGGCTTGTCTTTTATTAAAATCATAGAGCTTTAGACATTGCTTTTGTTTCAATATTGCATTTAAGTTAAATATCACTGCTTGTTGGTTCTCTCTTGGCACATTATGTCTAGTAGCTTGACTGGTCTGAGTCGAGGTGGTTATTTTGTGAAATATTCTAGAGTTATTAAAATATTTTAGAAGAATAAAGAATTTTATAGAGATTATAAATATGAGCATACAACACGTCTATATAAATAAGAGACCAAGCAAAAACCCGCAACCATGATATTTGTTTGTTGAGATTCTAGTCTTAATGGTATCTAGTACATTATGTCTAGTAGCCTTACTTGTCGAGTCGAGGTGGTTATTTTGTGAAATATTCTGTAGAGTTAAAAAAATATTTTAGAACAATAAAATTTTTTATAGAGATTATAAATATGAGCATACACTATGTCTATATAAATAAGAGTCCAAGCAAAAACCCGCAACCAAATGAATAGTGATGATATTTGTTTGTTGAGGTTCTAGTATTAATGGTATAAAAGGATTACTTTCTAAAAATGAATACTGATGATATTTCTTTGTCGAGATTTTAGTGATGATATTTGTTTGTTGAGATTCTAGTCTTAATGGTATAAAAGGATTACTTTCTAATAAAAGTCTAGACTGAAATTTTAATAAATTATCAATCCTTGACCTCAATCCCTAACCTCTTTTTGGGAGATAAGAGACTAATACTTTTAGGCCACTGACCCGTTAATAAAATATTAATATTATTACATTCTAATATATATATATATATATATATCTTAATATTATTATTTTTAAAGTGGGCATAGGGAGTGAATTTGGGATTACAGTCCACAGTACTTTCGAGTGCCGAATTTGGACTCTCCATAATTTTTCTTTTTTATTATTATTCCTCACAATTCTTCAAATTTTTTTTTTTTAATCAATTTCTTCAATCCAAACATGGTGTTGTTAACTTAACCACAGTGGCCCTTATCAGTCCTGCCGAGTTTATTTCTGTTTTAATTACACATCACGTTGACTTCAACATCACGTTGACTTCAACATCATATTACATAGAAGGGGAATATGAAAATTCAACAAAGTGGGACGTAATTTTTTATTACATAGAAGGGGAATATGAAAATTCAACAAAGTGGGACCTAATTTTTTATTACATCGAAGGGGAATATGAAAATTCAACAAAGTGGGACCTAATTTTTTTTTTCTCCACTACCCCCATTGTCTTGTGTATAGTATTTATTTTATTTTTTTTAAAAAGAGTTTGTATAGCATAGGGCTCACTTCGGGTAGAGCTACAAATGAACCGAGTTATTCATGAACAGTTCGAACTTGGCTCGTTAAAAATTCGGCTCGGACTCATTCATTTAGTAAATGAGTTGAGCTCGAGTTCCATTTTCAAGCTCATTTAGTAAACGAGCCGAGCTTGAGCAACATTGAGCTCGGCTCGTTAGGCTCGTGAACAAGCTCGTTAAGACACAAGCCCATATGTTTACTATTTTACATTAAAAAGTTTGGTCAATATAAGTATAAGTTTGGCCTAACACTTATCATTTTATTAATAAGGTTCACAAAAGCCCAAAGAGTTTAATTCTTGAGCCCATGATTCAAATAAGGATTTCTCTCAAATCCTAATAATTAATTTTATTTCATCTGAGCCGTTGCTTTCTTTACTCATGTTAAGAGATAAGAATTAACCTAAAACTAAAAGTTAAGGAAGGCTATCCTCTTCAGCAGCTCCAGCACGCGATTCCGCCGGCAACCCTCTACTACACAACTCTCTCTCTCTCTCTTTCTCTCTCACTCTCGGATCAGCTCCACTGTTTGAATCTGTCAGTAGCCCTCCATGCCACAACTCTCTCTCTCTAATGGATCTTGAAATATCTATAGATCGAGTCCACAAAACCAGGTATTTCATCTTGAATTTTTGTTCTTTATTGAGTCCATAAAAGCTTGTAAGGTTTGAATTCATCTTGAATATATGCCTTGAAAATTTTTTTTTTTTTTTTTCCCTGGTCAGAAATGAAGATTGGCGTTCATGGGTTTTTGAATAGGTGATCGTCAATGTGTAACCGAACCCGAGCCAAGCCCGAGTTTGCGAAAACTTTAACAAGCCGAGCCCAAGCATGGCTATACCAAGCTCTTTCGAGCCCGAGCCAAGCCCGAGCACCCCTCTGGAGATGACGAGCCGAGCCCGAACAACCCAAAGCTCTGTTCGGCTCAGCTCATTTACAACCCTAACCTCGGGTGGGTTGAAATTTGAAGTATAACTTAACCCAACCTATCATATGAAATGTTAAACTCACGTTCAATTCCAATTATATTTTCAACTCTAACTATTCAATTTGAGCCCAATTCATCCTTCTACTTTTAAATTCGGGTTTGCAACTTAGGCTTAGATTTTAGGTTAAAAATTTGGGTTATTAATATGACTAATCTTCTCACCGAAAATTTAATATGATCTTGAATTAGTTTTCATTTAAATTACTCTTAGACAAAAAAAAGTTTTAAAAGCTTTTTCTAAATTTTTAATAAATTATAAATAGATTTTAAAAATTAATTTTCCTAAATGTTAACATACAATAAGTTAAATATTTAATAAAGGAAGTTGAAAGGAAAAATGGTAATCATAGTTTAAATATTATATATAATGTATTTAAAATTAAAAATATATATGAAAATAATATTAGAATTCGGGTTCGGGTTAACTTGGATTGTTAGCACCTCAACCTAAGTCCAACCTTAATTAAATTCGGGTTGAGATTTTTCAACTCAGATCTAACTATAATTGTAAAAATAATTGTTCAAGCCCGCGAAAAATCGGACTGGACTCGGATTGGATTGGGACTGCCTAACCCCAGTTGCACCCCTAGTATAGCATTGTGTTTGTAGTGTATAAAAAGTGGTCAAATTCTTCGGGATAGTCACTTCGTGTGAATCGGTAATGAAAATTCACCTGCCATGCAGTCTTGACTTTCTAAATTAATTGAAAAAGTTGAGAGTCGGAGTCTCCTAACAGCATTATGGACACCAGGGACGGACCTACAAAGGAAAGAGGGGGGCAATTGCCCCCTAATTATTATTATTATTATTATTATTATTTAGCATTAAGTACTTGTAATTTTTTTTAATTTATTTTCAGTTATATACTTTTGAAATTTTACTATTGCTCCGCTTGAAATTTAAAAAAAAAAAATTCACTTTTGCCCCTTACTCAATATCCTAGGTCTATTCTTGTGGGCACCAAAAATTTATATATACATGTAAGATATATCTTTTGAGATCGCGGTTCATTATTACAAATACATTTATGAGATACAAAACTAAATAGAAATTTCATTTAGGATTCATCTTCATGGTTGTTGAGAATGTGTAATGACTTTCACCCTAACCAGACACAATATTGTTTGCTTTTGGCTCCCTCGAACCAGAGACTTCTCAGGGAGTCACCCATCCTAATACTACTCCAGGTTAAGCACGCTTAACTCTGGAGTTCTGGTAGGTTCATGTAATGTTTCTAATTTTCGTTATTTTTTATTTTCTGGAATTTTTCAATTTTTCGAGAGTATTTTTGTTTTTTCTTGTTTTGTGTGTTAGACATCGTGGGGGTGTGTCGGGTGTATCCGAGAGTTGGTTGGGGCATTTTTTTGAGTTCAGGACTCTTACAAATGCAATGGTTACCATTTCGATATTTTTCTGTTTTTCAAGCTGGACGGTCCCGGGTGGGACTCGCTACTAGAATTTTTGTGTACGGGAATTGTATCACGGGTCCATGGCATACCATGCATAATTATTTGGTCCATATTTTAATGGTATTGTGTTATATTGTATGATTGTATTATATTTTGTGGTGGAAAAATTAAAAGAAAAAGTGAGATTTTTTTTAAGTAGTGGGACCCACTTTCCACTTGTTCATTTTAGTGGCCAAGAGGCCATTGTGGCCTCATTCTCTCTCTCTCTACCCGGCACTCTCTCTTCCTCCCTCTCATTTTCCTTTTTTCTTTTTCTTTTCTTAACAAACTTCAAATTTCAATTACTCTCTCATCTTTTGAAATTTGTTGGTGTCGTTTGTGGCAAATCGGATAGCTTGTTGAGATCTACATTTTGAGTGGAGCAAATCATCATTTGGGCACCCTTGGAATTTAAAAAATTAGGGCTTGAATTGGGGCTTTTGCTTCAAAATAAGGTAGAGTTTGTTCAATTGTCAAATTCCTTAGTTGTGGTAGCTAATTGGATGTTTTTTCCCTTCTATAGCTTGTCAATTTGAAGTTAAAATGCATGATTTAATTTTAGGGTTTTTGATTTGCACAAGAATTTGTGAATTGAGGTGTTTTAAGTGATTAGGTGTTTATCTTGTGTTTAAATTGCAAGTGATATGTTGTTGAGTTTCTATAAGATGGTTTATTTAATTCCCCTCATGTGGTTGTTATGATGTTTTTTATTATATACATGCTAAAGAATACTTGAATGTTGAAGTATGGCAAAAAAAATTGTCAAATTATCTTGTTGAGGCTTTAGAAATGTCAATTGTATTACGAAAGTATGATAATAATTGAATAATTGAATTTAGACATTTCTATACGCATGACATGATGTTGTTCTTGGGTATGAGGGTTGTGTGGATGTGGTGGAGGGGTATACGAGGGCATGGATCTGGTGGATTGGTGCATTGAGCATTTTATACAATTTATTGCATATAAATATAAATGATGGTTATAAAAATCGGATACCCTTGCATGATCCTTTGCTCTTAATTCTATTAATTGTGTGTAAGGCATATGATTACTTACCTAGCTTGAGGAGATGCCACTTAGGCAATCTCACTTAGACGTTATGCTCACTCCTCTACTTATTATTTTTTTCAGGAAACAAAAAAGGAGAAACAGATGATTCACCACCCTATTTTGATGCATT